AATGGTGCGACAGGCAAACCGTGTGCAGAGTGCAAGTGCCTGCGCATTTATAACTTTTCAACTGTTGTATGAAATTTTACAAATTAGATTCATTTCTATGCATTGAAATGCATTTGCAAACTTTGCTGCAGAAAGTTACTCCAATATTTGCACACATGGCAAGTAAACTACTGAATGAATGCGTTTGTAAAATACATTTGCAGGTCTGCCATGCAGTCACATCTGACTCACTAACGGGCTAACAGTCTATACAGACTATGGGATCGCTGAATACTAATATAGAACTGGCAGAGTCGATGCTGAAAGTGAACCGACCCGGGACAGACAGAGACTCGGCATGCCAAAACTCAGTCCATTAGTTTGACAGTTTATAAAGAAACATGTACGAAAGTTCTACATAGTATGTGCAATTTCATTAATACAAAACTTGGTTGAAGAACCAAAACCAGCGTCTTTGGCGCAATTTTTGTTAATTTTAACTTTGACAGGAAAAAAGTTTTTAAAAAACAAAATTAAAAAATAAAAATAAATAAATAGACCTGAACTCTGAAATGCCAGAAATTGAAATGTGAAAACTCAAACATTCCAGTGATAAGGAACGAAAAAAAAAACCCAACTCGAACATCATTCAGAGCATCAAAGCCAGAAACTCAGCATCAATGGCAGCAGCTACACCAAAATGGATGATGGGGATGGGATAGCGGCTAAGCGACTTTGATGCTGGCATTGACTTGCCCCGCACACCACGACATCATCATAATTAATTAAAAAAGTTTTTTAAATCAATTTTCAAATGTCCCAATGACTGGATATTTGATGAGCCATGGGGCAAAAATCAGCTGAATACATTTCAAAAGACATAGCATGACGAAGTCAAATGCTATTTTCAATGCACTGCAAATTAATTTTCACTAAGCATAATTTCGTTAAAACAAAAAAAAAAAAAAGCAAAAAAGAACACTCATATTTGAAAGGAGAATTCAATTACAGAGTGTGCAGAATCCGCATCATTTGGCATAGAAAAATGTGAATCTAAAAGTCCATAACCGCCAGTGTCAAATTTCCCACGCCTCTCGCTCCAAGAGCATCATGCAATACTAGATCCTTTTTCAAGTTTCAATAGCAAAGAGGCAAACAGAGAATTTTTAATTAGTTTAGCTTGTTATCACTTCCTAAATGCAAAGGGAGCTGAACAATTGTGAACAATTCGCAGCAATTCATGTCTCATAATTACAATTACACTTACACTGGCAAAGCAAATTCTTTTTAAATAATGCAAATAATACTCCGTTGCATGTTTAAGAACTGACTGCAAAAATCAATGCAATTTAAAAATTTAAAATGCCAATTTAATGGCCAAAAACAGCGCTGAAAACACTCATAAAAAGTCTGCGGCAGAAGCAGCTTCCATATGCCATTAAAAAAATTGAAAATGCAGTCCTTATGCAGCTGCAAACAGGGCACTCTTGTTGTTGTATTTGTTGTTGTTCTTGTTATGTTTAATGTTCTTGTTGTAGCTGTTTTTATGCATTAGTGCCAACATGAGAGTGCTTGTGGTGCTCCTTGCGCTTGTGATAGTGTGTGTGGTTGTGCGTGTGTGTGTGTGTGTGTGTGTGCTCCTCTTCACATCAAATCAAAAATGCCAGCCATAGGGGCAATGCATTTTCATTTAACCCGCGCGCGAAAACTAATTCAACAAAAATAACCCAGAATGTTAAATTTGCTGTGCTTGTCAAATCACAACAGCGAGATACCGCTTAGTCCCATGAGTATACACTCAGCAATCAGAAATACCGCCTTGAATTTTAGAGAATCGCCATACTTTCGGCATAACATATATATTTCTGATAATTAGAAAAGATGCCTGCCTTTATAAATTTGCAACGCGTGTGGTATGCTTAGAAATTATTTCTAAAATAAAAAAATAATAAACTAATTTTCTAATCGCATTCCAGAGTAGTATATTTTATTTATCTAGCTCTAAATTGAAGTTTATTTCAAAAAGAGCTTGCGTAAAGAAGTTATGGTTAGTTAGAAAGACACATTTATATGCACTCATTTTGAAGCAAATGAAATAGTTATTTGAGAAACTTTTTTATAGTTTAGTTTTATTGCGATGACCAAAAACTAACACATACGCATAATGGTCTCCAAATGCAAAAATAATTCGTCCATGTTGACAAAGATTCTGTATGCTTTAAAAAATAAAATGCCAATTTAAAACAGAACATGTTTAAATAAGATAAAAACTATGGATCAGCTATGGTATTAGAAATACATACATGTATTTCACAATTACAAAGACTAAATTTTACCATATAATTTCTAAGATATTTGGTATAAAAAAAAAAACAAAACACAATTATTTTTGAGAAAGTGTTTTTCAATTGGTTTTCAACTACTCGCACCAATTGCATATATTCGATTGAACAAATCAACATTAAGAATGCAATTGCATAGGAACAATGGTCTCCAGGTGCAAAATTAATGGGTTCACATTGACAAAGCCTCCTTACGCTGCTCGCCAGAGTCATTTGCACAAGTACACAAATAATATACCCCTCAGGTTCAGCGCTTGAGTATTCCACGAAAACACACACTGAATAAATGCGGAGGCAGACAGAGGAACAGAGGGAGACAGTAAGAGTACATAAATAAATACTTGAGTAAACATTTACGACTCTCTTGTAGAATTATAAGCAGCGCCCGAATCTATGCACTACCAAAATGCAGCGCCCCAAAGAAAGCCAGAGTGTGTGAGAGGAAAAGAGCAAACTGGCGAGGTGGAAGCTCGCACCTGTTTGCATTCTACTGTTTGTCTATGAGTATGAGTATGCGTGTCTATACGCGTGTATGTGTTTGTGTGTGTGTGTGTGTGTATATGCTCAAGTGCGCATAAGACGCGCCGCAGCAGAACTGAGCAGCATTTTTATTTATTTTCTGCGGCGTAGTTTTGCCTTTTTTATTTGTGTTTGTTTATTTTTATTTATTTCTTCTGTATTTTTCTACGTTTTTTTTTTGCCTATTTTTGTTCTGTTTGCTACCAAATATGTATTTCTCAAATTCCAAGTCGAGGACTAGGACAACGAGCACGACTGCAACTGCAACGAGGTGGGCGTGGCAGGGCTGGCAAGATAAGGTGGCAGTGCCTCGTTTGTAACTCTGAGACTGCGAGTTTGTTTGGCAAAAGCGCCTATTTAACACTTAAGATATCGTATTTCTTATATATACACACACATACACACATATATATGCACACACGTGCACACGCATGCACGCACACACATAGCGTATGCATGCCACAAAGGTGCTTTAGGTGGCAGGGCTAGAGTTTTGGCGCTGGTTCTTGTTCTGGCTGTGGCTATGGCGCTGACTAAAGATAAATATGCATGCGGTTGGTTTTATAAGGCATGGCAAAGGTGCATTACGTATACGTATTGCATATACGTCAGCCATTTCAACAGACGCGCCTCCTTTCCGCCGCCTTTCGCACATTTGCATGCAATAAAGATGGCGGGCGATAACTAGGTTGCCTGCTATTGTTTGCCTTTTCCCATACATATATAAGCATATACATATATATCTATATATATATATGTGTGTGTGCGTGTGAAACTTACCGCCCAAAAAGCAGCTAGCTGCCAGACAACCAGTTTACCAGACAGCCAGGCACTAAAATAAAAGGCAATGTACGCCAAGTGGCGTCACCTGCCGCCGCCTGCTGCCATCTATTATGCAGATGTACAGCAGGTTCATGAATATATGCCAGCGTTTTGTCTACGCTTGTCTGTGCATGTGTGTGAGTGTTTGTATATGTGCGAAAAAATAGGAATAAAACATTGAGCAAAGTCGGACTGACAAAACGCCATATGTTTGAGCACGATAAGCGAAGGTGAGCCATAATTTTGTTTTCTTTTTTTTTCTTTTGCATAACCCATGCAATTCAAAACTCAAAACTATAATTTTAAATTAGCTGTACATACACATAGCGACATCCAGCGGCAATGTGGCGGCGTCAAAGCCCATGCCAATCCCGGCCAGATCCAAAGCAAATAAAGCACTGAGTAAATCAAAAATGCGCAATAAAATTGTGCAATATAACATGCGCCAAAGGTGAACAACGATGGTGGCCACTGGTTGGCTATGTGAGTGGTTGGTGCAAAGCTCATCTAAGAAACGATAATGATTGCAATTCATTTTGATGACCTAACTAAGCGGTTGGACATTACGATTTTGAAGTGCAATTCGGCACGCATCAATGAAGACCATCAGGGGTATATGCATTTAAGTGAACAGGCAGGTTGTAATCGCCTCATGTGTAGGGCATATCACATATTGAGTTGGTTGACAACTCAAGGAATAATATATATGTATAGTATATTTAGAGAGGCTGACCTGATTTTTCAACCTGGGCATGCAACTCAGAGATAACTAGTTTTCACACTTTACTTCACTGTACTCCATTTTCAATAAACAATAGTGGTGCAGCCTTGGTAAATATAACATATCCAACTGAGTGCAGGTGACTGCAGCAGCTGTCGTTGCCAATCAGCTTTCATTGAAGCGGAGCGGTGGCGGAGTGGTTGGGATGGTGTTAGACGGTGTGTCCAGTTGCTTGGCTCCCGCTGTTCAGCTGAACCGTTTCTTTGCTTAGTTGGCCAGTGATTTTCCAATAAAGTGAAATTGGATTTGATGATGCCAGGATACGTTTTTTTCTAACCGATGTTTTTTTTATTTTTATTTTCTACTTTCTATTTTTTTCTTCGCTTCCTGTGTCGTTTATAGAAAATTGAATAAAAGTGCTGGTGGCATAGCGACAAACTGTTCGATGAATGAGAGCGTGATTGTATAACGTCGTCAACTATCTAGATGCTAACTGCACACCAAACGTGTGGAGAGCATGGCTCCGAAGAGGAAGTGATTAGTGCTCGGGGACTGGCCGGTTGTTTAGTCTCAGTCTCAGTCTCAATCTCGCTGTATAACAAAAGCAAACACACAGCACACACAACACACACAACACACACAACACACACAGCACACACAGCGTACACAGCGTACACAAAGTCAATTTGTAACTTAACCCGGTTAGGAGCATGCTTTGCTCTTATTGTACTTACCTTTATGCAACACACGACATTTATTTTTATTAACAATTTGTAATAAATTTCACATAAAAAGAAATAAGAAAAAAAGGAATTGATAAATTGTATACCAGCATGCAGCATACGACCAAGATAAAGGAGGGTGACGAGCGGGTAAGATAATGTGGCATATTGTCTTATCATTAAACGTGGTCAACTAATAAATATTTCCCCTTTCCACACCGTCACTATTCAGGAAGAGATGGAGCTGAATCAAATCTGGCGCGCCTGTCGTAAAATTCAAGGCGCCATTTTCCGTTATAACTTTGACATCTGTGCCGATTTAAGGATACATGATCCCGAATGCAGTGGCTACGTATCGGGTAAGCCAAGGCTCTTGTACAAATTTCAATACAATCGCTGGACATTTATGTCTATTTTATGACCCTGCCAGAGCCAATATTCACATCAGTGTTGGGCAAATATCGCAAGGTGGTCGGCCTCTCCGAGTTCGAGCTGAGGGATGTAACCGATTATTTTCAGATCCGAGATGGACGCGTCGCCTATCGGCAATTCTGCAAGGTGGTCTGTAATGAGAGTGAGTTGATATTGAATTGCTAACGACTTACAGCTGCATATGATGGGATATTCCATAGATTTGCACAAGAGCGCCAATAAGGAGCTAGCCAGCGGACTGGAGTGGAATGACCCTTGGCACTTGAATGTGATACCACAGCCGGAAGAGCGGCGGAAGCTGTGTTTGATATTATTCAAAATAGCAAAGGAGACTCACTTGCCACTGATGCCATACTTTCAGGATTATGAATTGGTCAGTTGACACTCGAACACAACTTCTTGACATTTGTCATGCAGTTGATACTCGTACACAACTCCTTGACTTGACATTTGTCATGCAAAATTGTTTAGTTTGCCTTATATACACGCAGCAAAAAAAAATCGACCTGAATTTTAGAAATTCGCATGCATTTTACCATGGTTAAATCACCTCATTATTCACTGATTTTTATACAATTTTTTCTCATTTTCCATCAATTCGAACGCTCGAAAAGTCGCTTTGGAGTTGCGTGACTTCCCAATCAGATACGTGGCTTCGAAAGTAGAGAGCAGCTGAACTCTAAGATAGAAGTACAAAGAACAGATTTCATAACTCTGGATTACAGAATGGATTTTTCATCTTTTTAAAAATATTTTCTTTTATTAAGAAATAGAAAAGAAGTCATTCTAAAGTTAACAACTTGTTCTCGTATATCTAGAGACTATAACTAAAAACAAGAACATTTTTCTAGTTTTCAAGGCGATGATCTAAAACTAGTTGCGATATTTTTTTCCGAGTGTAGCTCACGTAGTATATGGCACACGTACACTGACGCTTCGAAAACTTCGAAGGAGAGCTTCAACGTGCAAGCAGAGAACACATTCGATTTCAGACAAACGTGCACAACATTCACGTGCATAGAAATGAGTTTTGGCCTGCATTGCCAATCTGCGCATATACGAGTATATTGTACACATCCTGCCCATTTTAACATACTGTCTCGTATAATTTATTATTATTCAATTGATGTACAGATAGCGCAAAACGTAGGCGTTGTGACCGTCTCACATTTCTCACGCGTGCTCCACTTTATGAAGATACCACTATCGGAAAGTGATTTTCTGCTATTGCTCAAGCGGTACATGAAGGATGGCTATTTGGTCAATTATGTGGCCTTTCTCAAGCATATCGAGAACATCATTGACTATTTGCGGCAACACACTCTGCTTGATAACTCGGGAGTAAGCAACACTGTTTGTTATTATCATTTGAATAGTTTATATCTACGTATCTATCTTCCGTAGGATCTTATACCAAACTTTCCTGGACGTCTGGTGGATCTGGAGCTTTCTCAATTACCGCCGATGGATGGCTGTCAAGTCGTGCAGCCCATTTTTCCAGATGCCTGCAACCATCCGAAAAAGGATCGCGGCGAATGTGATATTGTGTTCTGCATACAAAGCTATATACATAAGAATCGGATACGCACCTGTGAGTTCCTCGAGAAGTTTGATACGCTGCAGGTGGGCAGCATAACGAAGAATCAGTTGGAGCGCGGTCTGTCCAACATGGGCGTGGGCAAATACTTATCGCAAAGGGAATTGGATTTGTTGGCGGCACGCTATATGGATCCCCTCGACACTAATCGCATACGTTGGCGCAATTTTGTGGATGAAATCGATACGGGTATAAGGCTAAATTCAATTTCTATACCCTGAATCCATTCAAAATGGGTAAAAGGGTATAATGGTTTTGTGCAAAAGCATGTACAAGGCAGAAGGAAGCATCTTCAACCCCATAAAGTATATATATGCTTGATAAAAACGAATCGACATGACCTCGTCCGTCTGTCCGTCCGAATAAACACGAGGATCTCAAAAACTATAAGAGCTTAAGACTTGAAAGCCTTCCACTTGATTCATAATACACATTCATCATATTATTGATCAAGTACACAGATTTCATCAAGCTCGGATAAGAACCATTCAATAGCATATATTAAACAGCTGAGTTCAGGGTATCTCATAGTCGAGCTCATTCGACTACAGTATTTTTATTTGTTAATTTTCAACTTCTCAAAAATGCATCCAATGTATATAGTATTTACCATCAAAAACCTGGAGAAAATGCCACAGTGTGTGGTTGAGTCACCGCTGTCTCATATCAAGGAGCTACCCCGACCGGGTACCCTGGACTGGCAGGCAGCGCCAATGGATATACGAGATCTGTGTGAGGAAGCCATGTCCAAAATAAGACTACGTATACGCAATCGTCGCCTTTACCTGCATCCATTCTTCCGCAACTATGACAAGTGAGTAAAGTCTAACTGAGCAGGATTTTGGTTTCTCTTACTGATTCTACTCCCAATCAGACTGTTTAGCGGCCATGTGAACTGTCACCAGGCCAATCAAATCTTCCGCATCAATGGCATACTGCTCTCGAATCCTGAGCTCGATGCTGTCCTGCATCGTTATGGCAATGAGCTGGGCTTCTATTATACCAAATTTTTGGATGATGTCGATCCGGCAGAGTATGCCATGCCCAGCATGGTGACCAAACAGCAGTTACAAGAATGTCCACCATTCCCACGCGACAAAGTGGAGAAGGAGCAGGACAACGAGGAGGTCATTGCCCGCATCCTGGCCAGTGCAAAGAGACAGGCAATCACCAAGGGTATTTCGGTCATTGATTTTCTATCTGACTACGATCGCCATCGTGAGGGTCAAATACTGGAGAGCGACTTCAAACGTGCCCTGGACAATGCCATGGTCATACTCACTGATGAGGATGCCACCGTTTTATGCAATGTGTAAGATTGGCTTGTTGTGAATCGAGTTTAATCAATTAATATCTTGTCAATTAGATTCCGTTCGCCAAACCGCTCTGCCTGCGTTCGGTATCGTGACTTTTGCAAAGCGCTGGACGAGATCTTTATGCAGGTCGATACGAATATGGGTGATAATATTGTGACAGCTGTGCCGCTGTTGCATTTGCCGAATCTGGACTGTGTCGATTGTTTTCTGAACTTTGATGAGCGCACACTTTGCTCAAATGCTCTGATGAAACTCGCCCGCCGCCCGGATGAGATCTCCAACTTGAGGGAGGTATTCAAGGACTTTGACCGACAGCTGTGCGGCTCGGTGACCCAGAACCAATTCCTCCGGGCCATCACCTTACGTGAAATGCACAATATGATGAGCAGTCGCGAGCTGGAAGCCGTTGTCAAATGCTTTGGCGTTAAGCGTGGTCTCTGTCTGGAGGTTAACTATCGCGAATTCCTCAAAATACTGGATGTGCTCTTCGCCACTGGTCAGGTGAAACGTAACTATTAAGTGTCAATATGATAGAAAAACTACTAAATTGTCTGTGCGTGTGAAACTTACTTTTGGGCATCCCATTTCCCCATTTCGAAATAATAATTCGGAAATTAATATACATGTCTTTTTGTTTTTAATTGAATCGTTTTGCCTGGATTTGTGTGTTTCATTTAAACGAAATAAACATTTTATTTTGTCAATTAAAGAATGTCGTTTTATACATCTATTATTAAGTTTGAAAATAAACATATGCTTTTGTTCGATTTATAACTTGAGGCTTACGGCTGACTGAGCTGCTTTCGAGCAGCGAATGTAAAAATAATTGAAGTAGAATGGAAATAGAAAATTCTACCGTTATATCGTTCTGCTCCTCCACATCTAAAGGAACGCCCTCCCACCGAGAAGAGCGATACCCCTCTACTACTACTGCCTTCAGTTGTGTGTGTGTGTGTGTGTGCGAGTGTGTGTCACTCTTCTGTCTTGTTTCTGTAGTTCGGACGTTTTCAGCATAACAATTTTTCTCAATGCATTCTCTTTTTTTTGTTCATTTAAATAGCTATAGTTATTTGTATATAGTTTTTATGTATGTAATTTTTTTTTTTATATATATATATGCCTATTTATTTTTAACAAATATCCTTGAAAATAGTCTTGTTAAAAACTATACATCATGTAGTTCAGTTTGCTTTTGCTTGGATTTTTTCGTTTTTTTATTTTTATTATTATTATTATTATTTTTGTTTAGAGCTTGTTGCAAGTGCCTATGCTTTTTTCTTTATTCTTGTTGTCATATGCTGCATTAGATTTTTATTAAAATATAAAATTCTCTTTTTTTTAATTATATATATATATATATACATATTTATACATATATATATATATATATGTATATATGTGTGTATATAATTGTATATAGACTATTAATGAGCGCAAATACATACACAAAAAACACGTTTACCATTCATATTGGGAAAAATCATTTGTTATTTGTAATTTGGTGGATTTGTTGTTTGTTGTAGTTTCAAGCGGACTTGGACAAGGCGGGGCGGGCACCGCTGTGGTGCGTCCGCTTCAAAGACAACCCGCCCACACCGCAGCAGCGCCAGCTGCCTAGCGTTGCTCTACGATAATTATGCAATACATATTACAGTTATTAATTAATTAAATTTAAACAAATACTTAACGACTATTGTATTTTAATATAATGTATTTACTGTTACTATTAAACATTGTTGCCGTTTTTGTGTTTCTGCATTCCGTTTTTTCTATTTGTATGCTTGGTTGTGTGGGTGTTTCTTTGTTTGTTTCTTTCTTTCTTTGTTGTGTGTGTGTGTGTGTGTAGGTGTGGATGTGTGTGAGTGTAAATATATTCCGTTTTGCCAGAACTTTCAAGTTAAACAATTACCTCTGTAATACCATGAGACTACATTAGAAAAAAAAAATATTAGTTTTGCCACACACACACACCCACACACACAGATGAGCACGCAGAGTCTGTTTGTGTGGCATACCTTAATGTGTGTGTGGTGCATTGTGGGTATTCTTGGTGGGCAATGCTGGCTTAACGAGCGTGTGGCTATGAAAAATTAGCCACTTGCTGAAAAAATACATTTCTCCAAGCCTAACTCAGTGTGTGTGGTGTGTGTGTATGTGTGTGTGTAGAGTCTAGTGAAGTGTGTGGTGTGGTGTGGTGTAGTGTTATATATAAATATGTATATAAATTATGCGTTGATTCTTGACCACGTTGTAGTGCCGCTTCTGCTCTTTCTGCTGTTGGAATGGTGCCACACAACAAATGTGTGTAATATGGTTGTTGTTGTTCTTGTTGTCTGCTCCGCTAGACTGCATTATGCCATGAAAATATGAGGTCTGCCCTGCAGTCGCTTTATAGATGCTTCTGTATGTGTATGTGTGTGTTGTGTATATGTTTGTGTGTGTGTGTGTATGTGTTGTTCTGTAGTATGCTGTCAAGTCAAATGGAATACAATGGCGATGAGTCTTGCGAAATACTTGCAACAACAAACACGATGGCCAATCATTAAAATTTCCAAAATTATAGTTATGTATTTGGCAATCGTGTTAGTTGGGCTATAATTTGAAAAAAAGGAAAAAAAATAAAGATAAAAGAAGAAATGACATTCTTACCATAACAAACTAAACTAAATAAAATTCAAATAGTTTGCAGTTATAAGTAGATGTCGGACGACTCCGGAAAACGGGCCGCTTAGTAGGGCTGATGTCGTGGCTGGCGTCCAGTGCCGCGCTGCTTGCCCCCATTAAAACCACCACCGCCGCCGCCACCACCGCCGCCGCCTGTTTTAAGAAGATGAACACGTTAGAGATTAGTCTTTTCAATTACAAATTGAATAACAATGTCAAAGTCATGCACAGCTGCTAGGATATTGTTGTTCTTCCGTACTTTTTTTTTATTTTGTTGGGTTTTTTTTTTTTTGTGTTTTAAGGATGGACTACAACGCCAAACGGTTCAAGCGACTGATGAAAATTTTGACCAAATCTAAGGATAAACAATGTCTAGTAACATAATTTGGGCTCCAAATGGAGAAATGCTCGAAATTAAAGACAAGGAAAGATTAGTTCAAGTTACAAAGAAAACAAATGCTCAGTTAAAAATAGTTACAGAGACTGGAGAGTAATACATAATAAGAGATAGAGTGGATGGGTAAAAGTGGTATTTTGGGCTGATCTTTTTTTTCTTTTTTTTTTTTAATTTTTTATGGCCATGTTTTTTTTATTGTGTATACCTTTGGGACCGCCGCGCGGACCTCCGGCACCGCGCCCGCCACCGCCGCCGCTGCCGTAGCCATTACCGCCAAAGCCACCATCAAAGTCGCCGCCATAACCGTAGTCTTAGTTTTGAGTTTGGATAGTTTTTTTTCGTTTTTTTTTTTTTTATAAAGGGGTTTAAACACAAAAAGTTGTAGTTGTAAGATCATGAGCACAAACAAGACTTAGATTAAGAATTGCGTTTAATAATAATATTTACTAAACTTTCTACTAATGGGTTTTTGCTTGGTTTTGGTCAAAATTTTTGTCAATTTCAGATAGTGAAGTAGGAGTAAAGGGCGGCGGCGACGCCGCGCCGAGGGAGACAATTCAAATGCACACCAGATAGAGAGCTGGAAAAGGAATTCCACTGAAAACACACAAGTTGTATCGGTTTTGTTTTTTTTTTTTCGTTTTTTCTTTTATTTGCTCATTTCTCGATTTGCGGATTTTGATTATAAGATTGATTGGCTGTTATGTGATTGCTACTATATAGATCAATATACAATATGATCTTATTGTATTGTGGTTCGTTCTTGCTGCTTGTTGCTGTTGCTGCTGCTGGTTGTTGCTGTTGGTTGCTGTTGCTGTGTTGTGTTGTTGTAGTTGTCGTTGTTGCTGTTGCCTTTTTCATTACTTTTGCACAGGCATTGCATTACAAAAAATGGTTGTTGAATGGTTGAATGGCTTTTGTTGCGGTTACACAATACAAATTAAAAACACATTTCTGTCTCTCTGTCTTTGTTGTTAATCTTCTAGCTATCTGCATCATCTTCATCATGTTCATCTTCTTCTCACTAATTGAGAAAACAGGCGCAAAGCGGCGCTCACACATACATGCGCGGTTCGTTATTTTAGTTGTTGTTTTTGTTTTGGTTTTTGTTGTTGTTATTATTATTGTTATTGTTGTTGTCATTTCAGATGTTGTTTCTCTTAAATTGCTGCTGTCTCTTGGTATTTGTTTGTTAGTTAGTTGCTGTTCACTTTCGACTTATAAACATGTTTCACAATGTATTGCAATTAATTTCTCATTTGATATCTCATTTTTGACGCACTCTTTATGCATTTTTGTTTTCTTTATTTTCTAATTTTTACCTCATTTTCCACACAACAAATTCAGCATTTCATTATATTGTTTACTTTTCCGAAAATAGATTTCATTTCTTTTTCATCTTATTGGCCAAAAAAAAAAAAAAAAACTCAATAAATCTGCTGCTCTTGTGTGTGTGTTTTTGAATGTCTCACCTCAGCAAAAAGTAATCAAATTTTTCATGAATTTTCTTTTTTCATTGTTCTTTGTAGTTTTTTTTTTTCAAATGGGATAGGGGATTTCGGGGTTTTTTGGGGGAAGTACGTGTTGGACTTGTCGCAAAATTTTAGTATTTTAAAAAACGTCTTGCGAAAAACAAAAACAAATGCAAATTGTCAGCAAATTTGACTTTATACGAGTTAATATTGGTATTATTTATAATTTACTCTTGTGTTGTTTGTATTTTGTTGTTAAAAACAAGAAAACTGTTTAGATCTTAAAAAAATTTGCTGCAGAAAACTTTTATCCAAGTTTTTACTTTTTAAAATTACTTTAAGTGTAAATATATATATATATATATATATTTATATTTTTTTTAGATTTTTCAATTCATTTGACTAAAAACAGATATTAATTACGCTAAATTACTTGTAATATATATAACCTTTAAGTTTAATTAAAAAAAGGGAGTAATAAAGAAAATAAAACGTTACATTTTAAGAGAAATGAAATAATTGTTGTAGTTTTTTTTACTGTGTAGTCGTTGGTACTTGGTTGCAAACAGGGTGTTCGTATCTGTGATCGGTGTGTCGCTGTGTGGATGGGAATTCCGGTTGCACAGACAATACGACACCAGACAGACGCCGCCGTTAGCCGGCGCGGCAAGACAACCAACCGTTACGAAAACTTTTATGATCAAGACAAATTGCGCGATCGTTTTGGATATTTGCTTGGGTGGTTGGTTGGTAGTAGAGTAGTAGTAGTAGTAGTCGTTTTGAATTTTACTCTCATTTTGAAAAAGATTTCTTTTTTTTCTTTCTTGTTTTTGTCGTTTTTTGTGAGGCGAAACATCGGAAAATTCGGCATTACAATAGATATATATCCATAATAAATGTAATTATTTAACACGTATGCTCAAAAATCATAATAAAAAGTAACAATATTTAGTTAATAAAATAGTATACATATTTTCAACTGTGAAACGGTTAACTGGCTATTGTGTCTAATGGGGACCATAACATTGGCCACTTGGATGTTAACTTGCCAAGGCTTAAATAATTAACCCATTTACACTCGCAGGTGTTAACATAGCACGCACTCTGTTATAGCTCCCATTGACATGATTTCTGTTGTTTGTTGTTGTGGTTGATGGGTTAGTTTGTTGTTTATAAAATTTGATAAATTATAAAGAAAATTATGAATATATTGTAGTTATAGTTTTAATATAAAGGGGCACAAAATATTGCTATAAAATATACAAAACGTATTTTTGTTTTTTTTTTTCATAAAAGAATTATTTGCACAGTTAAACATCGTTGGCGTTATGAATCATTGTGTGGTGTAAAATATATAGCATAAATATAAAATTTGTAATATGTATAAATGTTGTATAATTACTAATATATATTTTTTTGCAATTTTAAATTTTGTTATTTTATTTTTTATTTTTTTTTTGTTTGTTTGTATATAGACAACTAGCTAAAAACATTGAGAAACATGCAAATTTTAAAATAATTTACTCAAGTTTATGCATATGTTTTTTTTAGATTTTTTGTTTTTTTTTTTTGTTTTTTTGTTGATGTTTTTAAATATATGTATAAATATGTTTTTATATGTATACATTGATTGATTGTGATACGTCAAAAGTTGATGGTTCGTATTGACAGATTTCAAAAGTTTTGATAGAGCTGAATTCTACATACAAAAAATTTAACATAAAAGTTAAATGTAACTATTTATGTAATATGTATTATAAATGTGGGTATGCTTGTGAAAAGCAAAAAATATATGCGTGTATTTGTGTGAGTACTTAATACTTTAAAAAAAATATGAACAATAAGAAAAATTATTATTTATATAAATGTATATTCATTAAAATTACTAAAATTGACGAAGTGTGTTTTTACTTTTTGTTTTGTTTGGTTTTGTTTAGTTGTTCTACTTGATGTAGTTCTTGTTGTTGTTATCGTTCAGTTTGTATTTCTTGTAGTTGTTTTGTCACTGTTTTTGTTGTTGTTCTCAGTGTTTTTGTCGCTGTCGCTGTTGTTGTTGTTGTTGTTTATCAACGTACGAACGTGCAAATTGCCGCATTGCGCGTTTTATTTCAAATCAAGTTTTAATTTAGTGTTTAAATTGTTGTTTTTTGTTATTTGTTAACATTTTTTCGTCCTTTTTCTCATGTTTCTTTCTCTTGAACTCAATTCTCGTGTTCTCACTGTCAGCAAAATGCATGTATGGTCAAAGAAAGCAAAGCAGAAATGCAAATAAAGCAAATAAAAGAATGTATGGCCGCGCCACATCGAAAGGCCAGAGAAAATTGCAGTATTCAGTTGGATGGGCGGGCGCAAGAGGCGTGTTGGCGGTGGTTGATTGATTTAATCAGTCACGCCCATCTCTCTACGCCCCACTACTGATACGTGAAGATTCGAGCCCGGCCAAAAAAGTTGGTTGTTTCGTTGCTTTTGCGTTGTTGTTTTTGTTTTGGTTTTTGTTGTTATGTTTGTTGTTGTTGTTGTTGTTGTTCTAACAAGGATTTGCCTTAAAATAATACTATCAAAAATAGTACCCATTTGTAAAATATTATTTTATGCATATATATTGCAACATTGCAACATTTGTATACATCTGCTATAAATATATATATAGTGTGTGTATTGACGTGCATACGAAAACATATGCATTGCAAAAACGTTGATATTATCCCGTTGCCGAAATAATAATAATATACATCTAAAAATATATTTATATGCTATATATAGGTATATATATATATATATTTAAATAGAAATTGAATCAAAGCTTTGATTACGCGTTGAATATTTTTTTGTTTTGTTTTGTTTCGCTTATGTTTGTTTGTTGTTGGTTTTTTGTTTGCTTTAGCGTTTTGCTCAACAAAACAAAGGGAAAAACTATTTAAATATAACTATTATAAGGAGATAACGGGGGTGTGGGGGGGGAGGAGAATGCAGGTGGTATGGGTCAACAGGGTTATGTATGTTTTGAATGAGGGGATGTGGGTGGCTAGGTATGTATTGTGTGTGATTCCTATGAATGTGGTGGTGTCAACAGCTTTTGGTTTCGATTTGTTCAAACAATAACAGTTAGTTAGTTAACAATAATAAAAGGCACAAGTTGCAATTATGCAAAAGGCCAAAACGCTGGCGATTCACACAGTTTCACATAATTGGCACATGATCTTGTTTGTGTGAGTTTCTTTTCTTTCTTTTTCTTCCTTGTTTTTGTGTTTGTGTGTGTGTTTGTGTGTATAGTTTAAGGTTCTTTTGATTGTTGTTGTTTGTTGGGGTGTTTTCTTTTTTGTTGCTGTTGTTTTTTCTAATTGTTGCTGCTGCCTTGGCGTTTGAGGTATTTGTCATCTTTGGAAAGTCTGTTGAAAGCGACCTCTGGCGGCCGCACACATTGTTGTTCTTTTTTTTATATAGTTTTTGTTTTTTGTTTTTTGTTTTTTTGTTACATTCCTGTTGGTCTGGTCTGGTATACATATATATAATTTTAGTGTAGCTTATGAACTTGAAAGTTTCGTCTACTCTTTTCGTCTCCGTCTCTGTCTCACACTCTCTCACTCTCGCGCTTTCTCTCTCTCTCGTTTTTTTGCTCCTTAAACAACACAATAATTAATACACACGCTTCGTCAGTTTTATATAATATTTAAATGCTAAAACTCTAGTAAATTTATGGTCGATTTTAAATTTGTTGAAAATGTATGGTTCGTTTTCCTTTTCAAATGAATTCTCAATTTAAAATTACGCTTTAAAATTTTAAAATTATGCATTTTAGATTTTTTTTAAATTAATTGTAAAAATATTGATTTGATTGTTGTATGTTAAATTATGTATAATCAACATATATTTATATATTTAATTGCAATTTTAAAATGATTTTAAAATTTATATGTAAGCATTAAAAATATGTTGGTGTTTTTTTTTTTTAATTAAAAAGTTTTCTTGTTTTTAGCGACGTTGTTTTGTTGTTGTTGATGTTTTTGGGTTTCTAGTTGTTATATAGAAATGCAGCAAAACGTTTTTGTTTTTGTTTTTCTCTCCGTTTTGGATTTTTCTTTTCTTTTGGTTTTTTTTTTTTTTGTATGTATGTCTCTTTTGCTAACGGCAAACAACAATATGTATATTATATGTATGGTAAAGGGAAAAGATATTTCAAAATGTTGTATAATGGCATTTTTGTTTATTGTTGTAGTTCTTGTTGTATGTTTGTTTGTTTTGTTGCCAGTATTTAGCTACATTAGAACTGCTGATAGTTGTTGCTATTGTTCTTGTTTTGATGGTAATTACTTGTCGTTGTGTTATTATAAACTGTTATGAGCATTATTATTATGTTGTTTGTTGTATTTACCATAACCATAGTCATATCCATTATAGTAGCCACCGGCATAGTAATCGGCAAATCCACCGGAACCATAACCGCCATAGCCGCCATAGCCCGAATACGAACCCTGGCCGTCCCATTGATGGGAATAACCTTGAAGCAGAAGAATACCAAAGATTAATAATGTTAATACACTTCCAATTAGGTAACTGTTTAGAGGAATAACTAACCACCACGTCCATATCCGCCTCGTCCACCGCGCATGCCGCCTCGCGCTCCACCTCGCATGCCCATCATTTGATTCTCAGGTTTTGGCGTTGCGCGCTTCACATCAACCTCCTTGCCAGCAATTTTCTGTTTGGGTGTCTTCAACAAATCGGTGACCACCTGTTCCGAGTCGAACGTAATGAAACAGAAGCCCTTGCGATGTGACTTTTGCTTATCGAATGGCATCTCGACCTCAACAATCTGCAATTGGCAAAATTCATAATTCATATTGTTTCTATTCATTTGTGGTTATCAGCGCCGCTTACAGTGCCAAACTGACTGAAGTAGGTTTTGATTTCCTCATCGCTTATCTCTGTGGTCAGGCCGCCCACAAATATCTTGCCATGGCGTGCCTTGGCCTTTTTGGGATCAACCTTCTTGCTGTTGATGATGTGTTCCTCGGCGGCACTCACTTGATCAATTGCCTCTGTGTTAGTGAACACGATGAAGGCAAAGCCACGTGACCTTCCCGTCTGAGGATCTGTTTTTACATTGATGCTCTCGATCTCGCCATATTTTCCAAAATGATCGCGCAGTTCCTCTGCAAAATTATTGTTAATAACAATTAATTCAAGTCATGTAATTAATTTCATGTGAGCATCCACTTACTCTCAGTTGTTTCCCAGCTAAGGCCGCCAACAAACAGTTTTCTGTGAAACGTTACGGAAATGTTGTTGATTAGATTTTTGCAAAATATACATAAATTGGTCAAAAATTAAACTATTAATGCTACAAAGCAAACTCTGGTTTCGTAAAGTTAGAAAAAATGGCACGACAATAACGTTGTGTCTAATATGCGTGTAGAAAATTTTTATATGCACATATATATATATAAATACACATATATATATCTGGTAGGATACTTTTGGTTTTTTTGTTTTCTGCCCACACATTTGGCGCTTACAAAAACGTTACTTTACATTTTGTCTTTTGTTATTGCTGCAAATAGATTTAAGACGGAGCAAGAATAATAAAAAAAAAAAAGATTAGAAAAAAAAAACTCACCAAATTCAAAGTGAATATAGAGCTTATAATTACTGTACTTTAATAATTAATGAACTTTCAATCAAGATTCGAAAACTGCATCGAAAAAACTGAGCGAAAGATACGGCGAGGGAAGAGTCACAAACGAGCGAAAAATACGTATTATATATGTATATATGCAAAGAGTGAATTTTTAATTTTAGTACAAAAAAATCGTTTTTTTTAAATACATTTTAAAAATTTGTTTATTACTAAAAATGAGAAAAATGCAAATATTTTTTAATGCTGCTTTTGGATTTGGTACTTGCTTTATTTGGGCTAAATTTATTTTAAAAAAATTTTTAATTGATATACACTTAAAATATTCTTGGCGTACGTTACTCATAAAGATTGGAAATATCTCTGCGGGGTAATGCAATTTTGGAACAATCTCATCACGGCGGCGGAATTTAGAGTGTGGAAAAGTTAGACGGTACGAAAATGTTGGCATTTTTTGAAACGTTTTTTTAGACTCGTTTTCGGTTGCAATTCATATTTTATTTTTGTGGGGTCGTAATCGTTATCGTTATCATTTATCGTTACGTTACGTTCATCTGTTGCGCTTCTTTAAGTAGGCAAAAACAAACAAAAAATGCGAGTCTCTTTCTCTCTCTGTCTCTCTCTTTCTTTCTCTTTAATTTTTGGTAAACAATAAAATGCTTTATACGTTTTATATATATTTTTTTTTATATAGGATCCAATTGAGAACTCGAGATAATTTGTTGATAATTTTGTGTGTACATAGTTTTTTTGTTTTATTTTGGTTAGATAAATACCATCATCAACATTGCCGGCATCCGTTGCGCACGCTGCATCCTTTGGGTTATATCCTTTGGGCCACGGCTGCTTGAGAATAGCTTAACATGGCTTTTAACTTCTCTCAAGACCTGCCGGAGAGGAACAAGGTTAGTTCGCTCAAACACAACAGGATAAGCTATGAATTGTTTTGGTTTTATTTTTATTTTGTTTATCGTAGAACACCATATGTATCCACCATCTGTTTTGGGCTGCTTCCATTTTGTTAAATGTAATATTTTATATATATATATATATATATATTTTTTTTTTTTAATCGTTTATGTACAACTTTTTGTCTGGACTTAAGATTAACTTAAATAATTAATGACATACATATTAGACTCGCTGCCTAAAGATATTTAATCAAACAAGAGAATGGGGTCAACAACCTGCTATTTTTAACAATAGAACTATTGATTTGTTCAATATTAACTGAAATATAATATTAAAATACAATCGAAAAAATTACGTAGTGCAAAAGCAGTTGTTTTTTTAACGGCTCGACAACACTGCCCGGCATGGCGACGGCCTCAGCAACAGAGCGCGAAGCCGGCAAACAAAACGGAATAAACGTCGAGAAAAAGAATAGAAGAGAAAAAAAAATACTACATACATACGCACGCAGCGAGGCGGCGGCATTGCAAAGCGAGCAGAGCACTGAAACCGCCATTTTGGGTACGAAACTGGAAGAGCACGAAAACGAACGAACAAAAAATATCAACGAATAGCTGCAGAAAATAATGCAAAAAAAATAAATTATACAAATACAAACAAAACCTTTTACAAGTGAAAGGCGGACTGTAGTGGTGGGGCCAACGTGGGGCTTAGAGGAGGGGGAGTAGAGCACACTTTGCGCTTTTTTCTATTTTTTTTTTTGTATACGCGTATATACATACGCACATATTTATGCCTATATACCTAGCTACAAATTTAAGAATGTGTGTGCTGTGAACATAACCTCACAAAATGAGGGAAATGTGCTTGAATTGCTTCTTCAGTTGCGACTGGACAAATATCGTTGTGCTTTTTGTTTCAATTGCAAATGTGGTGAATAATATATTTCTGTAAGAATGGACAGTTAATACAAACACACACACACACAACAATCTGTAGCAGAATAAACGACATGAAAAATACGCATTTTACATTCAGATGATGCATACACATTTAATAACAATATCTGGATAGAGGAGAGGAGGCAAAAGGCGACCAACAAAAATTTTCCAACAGCTTCTATAATTATAATTATGTATGTTTAGTTGTTCGTTCTGCTGTGCGAAGTACAGTCGCACACACAGAGACACGCGCGCAAATATGGAAGAAGGGGTCAGCAGCGTAAGCGGCGCGCTGACTCCCGCCGCAACCGCTGCCGCTACGTCGAACACCATTTTTTTTTTACACTCGACGACGACGTTAGCTTTGTATTTACGTAACAACAAATAGGTGGTAATCAAAAAAAAAACGTTTTAGTTAGGCACATGATGATTTCTAAATAATTTTCAACTGTCTGGCTGTCGATTGAATGGTTATGGTTATGGTTATTTTACTTATAATACCTGTCGTCATCACGCTGGTTACCCGCAACGGCGCCTGCATTTTCAGAGCTGCCATTTGCAGCTGCGCCGGCAGAGGGAGTCGAATCACCGTTTTCAGAGCTCGCCACATCATTGGTGGTGACATCCTTGGTGAAATCTTCACCGTTCATTTCGCTGTCGACTTGCTTGTCTGCCATTATGGTTGGTTGGTGGTGTGTGTATGTGTTTTTCTCTATTGTCAATTACAACTTAATTAAATAGCACTATTTAGCGATTTCAGCAAATCTTTTTGTTAGCACACTCGCCAAAACTCGCGCGTACGCTGACGACCGGAAAATGACAAATCTAGCGACAGCGTGTGTATATGGTAATAGCGTTGCCACTGCGTTCAATATGTTGGCAGTCCGAAATTTTTAATTGTCCTGGCGATGTTTTTTTCTTATGCGACTTTCGTTTTATCACAACTATCAAAATTATATGTTACTCAAGCAACTTTATTTATTTATGTAATTGCAGCAAAAAAAGCCGGTTTGTCTCAGAATGCGAACTATCTGGCAACGTTTTGTGTCAACATTTTCAGTGAATGGCAAATTTAGCAGTAACATCGCATTTTTGGTGCTACCTCTTTTGAAACAATTGACTGTTAAATGTTTCTATGAGGTTAATTTTGCTATACTTGTATATATATTTATCTAAAATTTCTAGACCATAGAGACAAAACTTCTTTTTTGTAATTTTGCTCTTTTGTATTTTAAGTATTTTTGAAAGTTTGGTATTTTTGCTAGTGACAAATGCGGTCACACTGGAACAGACGACATCGCCGCCATCATAAAAGCGCACATACACAAACGCAAATGCACCGAGAATAAAACAGGCAAAAGAGGAAGGAATAAACGTCGGTTCTCTTCTCAATTCACTTGTTAAATTTCATTGCGTTTGCGATTCTTTTTTACATAAACTAAACAAATACCACGCACTCAAACTTAATTAATTTACAACTGTGATCGCCAACAACTATAATAATAAACGAGTAATGTGCGCAAAGAATTGCCAAATTTGTAATTTTTAAAAACCAAAAAGAAAATTGCAACAAAGCAGCAGACGACGACGACGGCCAAAGGAAGAAGCAGACTGACTAAAGCGGCCGCTCCAAACCAACAAGCTTCGCGTGTGAGTGCTGTGTGTGCCTCTGTGTGCGTGTGTGTGTGCCTGCATTTAAATATTAAGTTGCAGTTTGCACCGATTTGAAAAATACAAATACTTATATATATATGTATATATTTCAGCATTTCTCAAATTACAAATCATCTACAACATCCTACACAAAAACCTGTGCGACGGAGTTCAACAGCCCATCGCAAAACAAAATAAAAAACTACCTGATAAAAAAAAAAGAGAAACACATAAGCAATATTATTGTGCATTAGAAAACGGACATCAGACAGGCAACTGTTAAGGTGAGTACCAACTGGCAACCGGCGTTGGCCACATGCTACTTCTGCATGCCAAAAGAAAAACCTATTTCGTTTGGGGTGGCAAAATTCATACAACTGATAAATACAAAAAGACGTTCTAGTTTCTTAACTGCCGCCGGTCGGTTTTGTCTGTCCATTTTCGCTTTAGCGGCATTTTTATCGCTTATGTTTGGGCAACGCATAACCTAAAAAGTGTCTGTGCCCATTTTGATTTTTGTAAGTTTGTTTAAATATTGCTCTTTTTATTGCTTTCTTTGTGTCGCCGCCGTCCAAACACACGCGGTTCCTCTTCACGCACACAGAAAAACACGCGTATTTCGCGCTGCTGTTTTTTTCCTATGCGCGAATTTTTCCTCCAATGGTGGTAAGAAATTTTGAGTTCAATTTAATGTATTTCGCCTAAAATGTTTGATAAAATGCAGTTTTTTTTTTTTTCAGCCCGCTTTTATTTTAGTTTTTGCTCTTTTTTCGGTTGGCATTTGTTGCGAAATCGCAGCAGGCAGTGTGTGGTGTTTTTTTTTTTTTTTTTTTTGAGAGTTTGGCTAAACAGCAGCTACCTGAGAGAAAGACATGCACAGACATGCAAGCATGTGTGTGTGTGCTTTAAATTGTCGTCCTATAAGCGGTGATGCGTCGCAACCTTGAGGAGTAAAACATAACCTAAAATTATTTTACACAGTTTGTGTGTTCCCATTGCTGCTACCCCGCTATTGCCCTGCCCCGCTGTCCAACATCATTGCTGTTACTACTGTTTCGGCGTATGAGGTCATTTACTGTGTGCAAATAAAATACGATTGGTCCTTTAGATCTTGATGTGCAAAAAGAAAGAAACAACAAAATACAAATACGTATATCAATAATAAGAAAAACATAGCAAGAAAGCAGGCAATGACAGCTGCACTTTGTCTTGTTTTGGGTTTGCATCAAATTTCCCCTTTATATGCATTTTCGTGGTGAGTGCTGCGAGTGTTGTATGTGTGTGTTTGTATATATATGAATATGTGTGTGCGCCTGTGCTTCGAAATGAAAGTGGGTCAAATGGCAACTGCATTGAATCTTTTTGTCCGTGCTGCAGTAAAATTTGTTCCTTATGTATTTTTATACCCTTTTTGCAGAGTGGGTATTATCAATTTTACTGTTAAGTTTGTGAAAAGCATTTCTAACTTCACAAATAATTATTATGGCTCAAAATTGATTTACTTATTAAAATCAAAGTAAGTCGATACAAAATTTAATATTAAATGAAAATTAAAAAAATAAGAATCGATATGACACGATTTCTGGTGGTATTTATATGCAAAATAAAACTTTTCCAATAACTTAACTGAGTAGTCTCCAATTGTAGTTGTTAGTATATTAATTCAAAGAAATAATACAGATATTTGTGTGTACATTGTTTTACAGACTAAATACAAACTAAACTCGACAAGAAAATAGTAATTTCTGAAGCTCCTCACACTCACTGGGACTATATTTAGCCGCTTAGCCAAACGCTTGGAACTCTAGCAATGGTCATGGATGCGACACAATCGCAACAGCCTTCGCCACAGTCTGTGGGACGCGAATTTGTGCGTCAGTATTACACGCTGCTGAATAAGGCGCCCAATCATTTGCATCGCTTCTACAACAACAACTCGTCGTTCATACACGGCGAGTCGACATTGGTTGTGGGCCAGCGCGATATACACAATCGCATACAGCAGCTGAACTTCAACGATTGCCATGCCAAGATTAGCCAGGTGGATGCCCAGGCAACCCTAGGCAATGGCGTTGTCGTCCAGGTCACTGGGGAGCTGTCCAACGATGGCCAGCCGATGCGTCGCTTCACGCAGACCTTTGTCCTTGCTGCCCAGTCGCCCAAGAAGTACTATGTGCACAATGACATCTTTCGCTATCAGGATCTGTACATTGAGGACGAGCAGGATGGCGAGTCGCGTTCCGAGAACGATGAGGATGTGCACGATGTCCAGGTGCAGGGCGTCGATCAGGCTGTCCAGGTTGTCGGTGACGTTGCCCAGCCACCACAGCAGCTGCCCACTCAGGTGGTCCTGCCGCAGCCGGTTGTGCCAGTTGCATCCGCTGGCGGAGCTGCTGGAGCGCCGCAGCAGATCTACTATCCACTGCCCGCGGGCGCTGCATCCGGACGACCTGTGGCCGTATTGCCAGCTGCGCCGCAAGCTGCTGCTGTGCCGCTGCCCGCGCAGTTCTCAAACCCTCCGCCGCCAATTCAGAACGGAGTTGTGCCACACGACGATTTGCCACAACAACAGCAGCAGCAACAGGGACCGCCGCAAGCTTTGGTGCAGGCCAATGTGTCGCCGATGGTGCAACAGCAGCCAAGTGCTGGTGGACCCGTGAGGCCATCCAATGTGGGCATTGTGCAGCCGGTGGCAGTGCAGCCAGCTGGCTTCCAGCACTCTCCGCTCATGGCGACGCCACCACAACTCCTACCACAACAGCATCAGCAACAACAGCAGGCGGCTATGCAGCAGCAGCCAATGGTCGAACCCGAGGAGCCGGTTAACAGCGAGGCGAAAGTCAGCCACATGCAGAGGGCACAAACTCCGGTCGATGACTTCAAGACCATACATGAACAGCAGCAGCAGGAGAAATACGAGGCCGCCAAGCAGCAGCAGCAGGAGCCCAAGACCTATGCAAATCTGTTCAAGTCAACCTCATCATCGCCCAGTGGCTTTGTCAATGCGGCCCTGCAGCAGCAGCAACAATTGCAGCAACAGCAGCAGCAGCAGCAACAACAACCACAGAGCAATGTCTATACGACATCCTCAGCGGGCAGCGGTGGCGGTGTCCAGGCCAGCTACTCAACTACCGCATCCTCCTCCTACAACAATAACGGCAACAACAACAGCAGCACCAACAACAACAACTCGCGACTTGACAACGGCGGTCCTCTGCCACAGCGCAACAATTCGATTAGAAACAAGGGTATGTCAAGTTCGAGCTTCGTTTCCTTAATCAATTACAATTAAATCATGATGATATTTGCAGAGTTTGAGCAGCGTCGTCCTAGCAATGCTCAGCAATTTGGCGATAATCAGCAACTGTTTCTGGGCAATATACCACACCATGCTTCCGAAGATGAGCTGCGTCAGCAATTCGCACGCTTTGGCAATGTGATCGAGTTGCGTATTCTATCGAAGGCCAACAGCAAGGTGCTGCCAGGCATGCGCAGCCCACTCAACTATGGCTTTATCACCTACGAGGATCCCGAGGCAGTACAAAAGTGCCTGGCCAATTGTGTATGTAGTAGTGCCTTGCAGCAGTATTCATATCTATATTTCAATTGAATTGTATTCATCTGTATTCGATTTGTAATCTGTATTCTGATTTGCAGCCGCTGTACTTCCCGGAGAACTCCCCCGATGCCCAGAAATTGAATGTGGAGGAGAAGAAGCCACGCATGCGCAATGATATGCCACCGCGTCAGCCCATTGGCGGTGGAGGCGGCGGCGGCGGCGGCAACAACAACATGAATAACATGGGACGTAACAATATGCGCGCTGGTGGCGGCAACAGTGGTCCACGTATGGGCGGCAATGGAGGCGCCAGTTTTGGTCAGCGGAACGATAATCGCAGCAGCGGTGGCGGCAATCAATCCAATGGACCGCTGCGCGGTGCGGGCAACGGACAGAGCGGCGGTGGTGGCGGCGGCGGCAATTATGGTCGCCGTTAATCAGCGGGCGGCAGTGTAACAAAAAATAAAAACCGCCTGGCCTGACATTGGACGGGCCGCCGGAACAGAAATATAACAAGCAAATAGCAGCAACAGCCCAACGTCAGAGCATCGATTTCTTCCATAATGCAATCAATCAATTACCATCATCAACCAACCATCAACGCACACACTTACATACACACACACACACACACATAAACATTCATACACACACGCACACAATCAGCAGTAGTAGCAGCAGCAGCAACAGCAAAAAACATCATTCAACGAAAAGTGGAAAAAAAGAGAAAAGAAAACAACAGAATGACTAATCTTCAATGTTCTTCAAACGTTCTTTAGAGCGAAAAACGGCTACAACGACGATGACAGCCATTAAATTGCACGTGTATCGTACTACTAGTAAAAACTTTATAATTTATGCTTTTGGATCATCATTTAGTTAAGCTCGCTTTTGTGCAGTTTGTTCTCTTAAGCCGCCAGCTAGTGCCAAAAAGCAAAATTCTGTGCAAATTTTCGTTGTAAATCTAATTTTAAGAAGCTGCAGCACGCCCTCCAAAAAAAAACAAAGAAAAAAAGAGTATGTTGCAACGCGCCAACATCATATATTATAATTCTAATACATGCAGCCCACCACCTAACTCATAAACACACATGAACAACCAAACACACACACACACAAACAGTGTCACAGAACTTAGTGTAAATGTAAACTAGGTTTAACTTCATCTGTCGTTTAAAATTCTAATTTTTCAAAATTTTACCTATAAGTTTGCGAGGGAAATGCTATAAAAGAAATGCAAATGCTAATGTTTTTTGTTTGTTTTCATTTACAATGAAATTTTTCTTAAGAACGTAATAAATTAAAGTAAATTAAATGCAAATCATTACAATTAAAAACAAAACTGAAAACTTAGCTAAAAACAAAAAACACAAACACAACAAATCTAATCAATTTAAAAAGCAAACAAAAAAATGAAAAAAAAAATACTTTTTTAAATAAAATGTAATAAAAAAAGCAAAATAAAGACTTAAAAACGTAACATTAAAAAATCTAAAAAAAAAAAAAAATGAAACAAGAGAAATTATGTAAAAGCGATCTTAAGGAACACTCAACTAAAAGAAAGAAAAGTATCACAGGACCTTAAATACACTTATATAAATTCATGCAGCCGAATCCAGGGCGCCAATGGCCGCCTAACCCACAAACTCCTCCCCAACACCCTTCCCCAACCATTGCCACTTCAGTTTTATTTTGAACATTGAACATTTGCCTAGCTAGTCTATATACACATGGAACGAATATATTGTTAACAAATGTAACGGCAAATTGAGTGGCCGCAGCGTGCATAATCGGCGGTTAGCGCCGATATTGAAATGAATTGAAGTTCGTAAACGAATCATAGTCATGCAACTAATACGATTTGGTGTTTCCAACACAGTTGTAAACTAAAATTTAGTACATATTTTTTAAATAAAATCTATAAAAAAAAGAAAATCGAAAAAAAAGAAGAGAACTCAAGCTACTACAAATCTTTTCTCAACGTATATATATATATATATATATATATATATATATATATATATATATATATATGTGAAAACTTAAAAAATGTAATGTTAATATTTTTAGACCTTCAAGAAAAATCAACATATTTCAACAAAAAAAAAAAACAAACAAAAAAAACTCCACATATAATTAATAATTTCTAATATTAATTTGTAAATGCAAATTTTTTATATTGTTTTCAACTCGATTAGTAAATTTAAATTTTGTTTTTGCTTTACACATATCATTTGTTGAAGTGTACGCAGTTGAGAATGCGCTCTTACTAAATCATTAGTTGATTTGATTTATGTTTATTATTTTTAGAACACATTTTTCTATGCCAGGAAGTAAATTTAGCACTGTTATCGTGGCCTAAAGCAATTTTAGAACATTTTAAGTTAAACAAAATGTTAGTGTTCAAATCTTAGCTCAAAAAATCAGTGTTAACAGTGCTTGCGATATAAAGAAAATAAAAAACAAGCGTAATTAATTAAATATACGAAGCGATACACAAAAAGTACCGTTCATGCTCATTTCTTAGTAAGAAAAAAACTATAACAAAAAACAAAAAACAACAGTTTGTATAAAAAACAACATCAAAAACCAGAATAATTTAATTTAATTTATAGGTATAAAATAACGAATAGTTGTAAAAACAAAACAAAAAAATACGGAAGAAAAGATAATTTGGGCGCGTTTTCCAGAAATCTTTGTTAACTTATTTCCAATTTTCATCTTGTACTCTAATTGTATTTACAAATCCTCAAAGGTTTGCAGTACTTGCCATCTAAACAAACGAAAATGTAAATCACTTGCATTGTATTAGTTTAGTTAAGCAAATTTTTCTGGTTAGCCTGCCCATTTGTTCCAAATATTTAATAAATCGTACTCAAGAATCAATAAGAAGAAACACCAACAACAACAACAAAAATAGGGGAAAAAAACAATTACGTTATGTGCAGCAAATAAAACCAATTTATTTTTAACAAAAGCAACAAACATTTTTGTATTGAGTTACTAATTTAAATTTATTGATTTTTTGCGTTGAAAATCGAGATAGAAGTTGGCATTTAAATAAAATTAATGCGCACAAAAGCAAACAACTCCGTTTGCATAATTTTAATAAGAAAAACAAAAACGATGAGATTCTCAAATTCACAACAAGTCATTCAAAACTACAAATACAATTCAGTGGTGCGTTTTATATCGTATCGGGTATAAAACATTACACAAACAATTAAAATGCAGTAATGCGTTTAATTTAAATAAGAAAACAAAATATGTTTTGAAATAAAGTGAGAAAAACAAAGTTTGCGATTTAAAGTCTACAAAATGAGTAAACGTTTTATTTATCAGTTATCCAATAATGCTTTATGCGTGTGGGTATTCAAAATGATTAGTATTATAAATCACAATAGTTTTCTGTTCAATACCTTTGTGATTCGTGTGCTGTAGAAATTTTGGCTGGGGCGTTTTGGATAAAATATGAATAATGCATTGCAGCAAGAGAATTGCAAATTGTTTTGATGCGCACACTTTTTAAACGCCTGAAATAAAAATGGGAAATTAATCGAGTCAATTGTATCGAACTTAAATATACCATAGGCAGGTGCTGAGACGTCATTGTGATTGGCCGGGGGAACACTTGAGTTGTGTACGCCGGTCGGCTTAAAGATCTTGTAGTCCTTGGCGAGCCACTTCTTTTCCACATCAACAATGCACTTCGATTCCACTTTAACGTCATAAATCGGCTTCCCTGCCGTCTCCTGTCTATTGGCTTCTTTGGCCTGTGCCGGCTTAACCTCATTCTTGGAACGTTCAACGAAACTGTTGTGGTTCCTGGTAAATTTCGTGGCAACGTGAACGAACTCGCCCAGTGGATGGTAGCCATTCAATGCTGGCTGCTGGCGGGCATGGCTCATGGTCGGTGCTGGCGCATAGGGTGCCACGTACGAGGCCCAGCCATTAAAGAAGGCCGATGGTGGCAACGAGTGTTGCGCCTGATACGGATCATAGTTTAGATAGTAGACGGGATCATCCACAGTGGTTGGCTGTGGCGGTCCATAGCCGGCACAAGCTGCTCCGCCAATGGGCAGGCGCAAACGTTTGCTGGTATCAAACATCTTTTTCACCTCAACCATTTTACAACCGATCAAGTGTTTGCCTTGACCTAAGAATATTGAATGAATATTTAAATAAATTGATATGCCCCTTGCATACCCAAGGCACGTGCAGCGCTTGCTATATCCTCGAATTCCAGGAAGCCAAAGCCACGGATACGACCGGTCTCCTTGTCCAGCAGCACCTTGACACTGTTTATATTGCCAAACTGTGCGAAATACTCTCGCAACGTGGTCTCATCGTGGCAGTCCCTGAGACCACCAATGAAAATCTTATTCGTTCTAATATTGCTCAGATGACCCATACTCTTGCTGAACTGATGGCGTGGAAAGGCACGTTTTGTCTCAACGGTTCTGCATTTTATGATGTTGATGATTGGAAAACATTTTATACACATGAGTATATAGTGTTGTAAATCTATATGGCAACAGCTGCAACTTACTTGCCATCGACAATGTGGGGACGCGTACGCTGGACATTCTCAACAGACGCTGCCTCCACAAAGGTCACAAAACCGAAGCAGCGCGAGCGATTCGAAATTGGATCACGCATAACGATGGCGTCGGCCACATCGCCGAATTGACTGAAAAAATGGCGCATCGTTTCAGCAGTTGTGTTAAGCGACAATCCACCAACGAAAATTCTACGCAAGTGCTCGCTATTCTCCGATTCAATGTCGCCGCTCTGACCGAGATCCGAGCTCACAATGGCGGCACCACTAAAGCATCCACCCATTTTACGCATCTGGGAATGATCACATTTGTAGCTTTTACTTTACATCAAAATAGACATACCTCTTGACAGAAGGGCTTATTATTGTTGGAGTTATTCACCATTTTTGACATGAAAACTTATTGCTGCTCTGGCTGCTGTAGACGAAAAGAACAGCACAAAAACTGAACTGCCTGCAAATTGAATGACAGCGCAGGAAAATTTCAAAACGTCAAATTAGAGTTGCCATGTCTGAAAATTAACCTACAAATTCTTCTATTAATTGACAGCTCAGCTAGAAATAGCGATAATTGTGGAGTCCTGTCAGTCTTGTATAACAGTATAACAGTAGTTTGTACCGACACATTCAAACTTAACGGTAACTGTCACATAGTAATTAACGCATCAAATTTCGTTAAATGTGCCAATTATCGATTTTCGATTATCATTGAAACCCGAATGGATCCACTTATTGAAGCCCAGATAATTGAATAAGAAAAATAAACGAATTGAGTTTTATGGAATTAATTTTATTTGCATTACTTTCCGTAAAAATGACAGAATGTAGTTGGTTTATATACCCAGACTTACCTTGGTCCTTGAAGCAATAGCTCCAGTTAAGTGCAACCACGCCAACCAAAAATCCTAAGAGAGCTCGAGCTCCTTGGGAACCAGCGTTGCCACGCAATTCAGTATCCAGCACTTCAGCCAGTCTTGCAAAAGAAACACGTAGTGTATTAGTAAGCGAATTCCAACATGTTTATAGTTGTTTAAACTTGACGCAAAGTGCGGTAATGCAATATTGCGGTAATAATCTACAAAAGCGCTTCTCTTTTGGTTTCTCATTACATACACAGTTTGCCTACCTTAGTGCAGAACTCACTATATCTTTGTTTTGATTGTTCTGCATATATATAGATACAGATTCATAGATTCCTCTGGCCGCGGGTGGATTTCTTTTTTTGTTTGTGCTGCTCTCTGTAGTCGAAATTTTCGGGTGGGTAACATTAGTTTTATTTTTCGTTTAGCTTTCGTTTTTACCTCGTAATTTACTAATTACAGACAATTTCATGGTATCTTATTAATTTTGTATTGTTTGTAGTTGTAGTTTTGTACCAAAAATCAATCAATTGTTGTAGCAGCTACATACGTCTTTCTTATACGCTAACAAAATTGGTATGTAACGGTAATGCATATTCACATATTCGGAATTTGCTTGTTTGTAATAGTTTTTGTTGTAATCATTCATCGATCACATTATGGATTAACAGGATTTGACTCTTGTAGGGGGTAGTAGTATTTTCTCAAATAATTGAAATCATTCATATATAAAAATGCTTAAATATATAAAAAAATGTATTACAAAATAGGTTTCTTTCTATATATTTTACTTAAAAATTGTTTTCGCTGCTTTGCTATAAAATTAGAGAAAGTGGAAAGTACGACAATGAGCGAGCATCGTTATCGTTGATCTACGATCTAAATTGAATTTCAAAGGTACACTACCTTTATTTTTTTAACGGAAGCTGCTTACGCGGCCACCTAAATTCACAATCAATCGATAGGCAATCGATTCTCAAAGAGAATCGTTGCATAAGATGCATTCATTATCCATAGTCAATTGTATAAATAAAATTTTATAGGTTTAGTATATTTCTCTGATTTAGGCATATATGATTTTTGTTTGGTTTTTTTTTTGTATTTTTTTTTTTTTGTTTTTTGCATGTTGTGTTAATTTAGTTAAAACTAAGCGTTCAAGGTTCTTAATATCCTAAACACGAATTGATCATAAAAATTAAATGTATGTGTGTATAATTGAGACAAGACATTAGCAATAAGTTGTTGATATTGTTGAAGTGAGTCGGTTGCTCTGGTTTTTATCAAACATAATTAGTTTTTTGTATTGTTTTTGGGTTTTTATTTGGTTTTTTTTTTTTTTAATTTTTTTGTTTTTATTGGGATTAGTTAGTTGCTTAGGCTGGTCTTGAGGGCACAATGTCGATTGCCTGATAACTGCAAACTGCATTTTCTGTTTAGCTGCTGCTGCTGCTGATTACTTGCTTATTTTTTGTTATTGCTTGTTATCTTGTCTGCCTGACTTGCCCAGATTTTTTAACTGCCTCTCACTGTCATTGATTGCCTGCCTGTCTCTCTCTCTGCCTGTGCCTGTGCCTAGACTGCCTTTTTGTCTAGCTTGAACTGATTTTGTAAGTGTTTACCTATTTGCGAGAAAGGAGAAAATTTGCATTAGCACTTATTATTATTTTTCAATTCATCATACATATGTACAAGTTGGTTCTTTTTTTGTTTGCGACTACATTTTTTTTTTTGTTCGCTACAACTCGTGATTTGTCCGAACGATTTTGTAGTAATCAAGCACATCATATGGACAACAACAATAATTAAAGAAAAGAAAAAGCATTTACATTAAAGCAAACAGAATATTTACCTCGGCTAGTAGCGTCTATTGCCGCCCATATTGCCTCCTTGGCTTGTATTGTAGTTATTGCCACTATTAAAACCGCCCTGGCCACCACCGCTGCCCTGGGTGCCACCTTAGGAGATAAAGTAATCAATGATAAAAATACATTCTCAAAATTATGCTCTAAATTTTGACTTACTCTTGTTAAAGCCACCGCCACCGCCTTGGTTGTATGGTGTTGGGCGATTGTTGCCAAAGTTACTGTTGCGCTGTGGGCCGCCGCCATAGCTCTGTTGGTAATCGTTGCTGAAGCTGCCCCCGCTATTGGCACCACCCCAGCTGCCGTTGCTGTTTCCACCGCCGCCGCTGTAGCCGCCGCCATTGTTCCAGCCACCACCGCCGCCGCCGCCACCGCTGTTGCCACCCTGATTGTTCCAGGGGCCGCTCGGTTGATTCCAGCCACCGGAGCCGCCTTGGCTGCCGCCAAAATTGCCGTTGTTGCCAAAGCCCCCAGCACCGGAGCCCCAATTGCCGCCACCATTCTGACGATTGTTGCCCCAGCCGCCGCCTTGGCCGCCACGATCTCCGCCACGACCACCAACACGGCCGCCAGGACCGCCACGGCCACCACCGCCGCCGCCGCCACCACCACCACCGCCGCCGCCACCACCTTGGCGATCCATGTCCTGCTTGGCAATTGCCTTCTTCACATCGAGCGTCTTGTTCTTAATGTTGTGCGTCTTTTGCAGGATAATTTTGTCCACGGGATCATAATCATCGAACTCGATAAACGCAAAGCCGCGCTTCTTTCCAGTATCTTTATCGGACACAATGTTCACGCCCACAATTTGGCCAAACTCCTTGAAGTACTCGCGCAAGCACTCCTCGTCATGATCGTCGCGCAGACCGCCAACAAATAATTTCTTCACTGTGGCACCGGCATTGGGTGCATCGATTTCCTGTCGCGGCACGGCACGTTTTGGCTCCACGGTGCGTCCGTCAATTTTGTGGGGACGCGCATTCTGTGCATTATCGATCATATACGATTGCGAGTACGTGATAAAGCCAAATCCTCGCGAGCGTTTCGTTTTCGGATCCTTCATGACGACAACGTCGACAATGTTGCCCCACTTCTCGAAGTGCGCCTTGAGGCCCTCATCGGTGGTTCGGTAGTCCAAGCCGCCGATAAACAGCTTACGTAGCTGCTCGGGTTCCGAAATTTGCTAAAACAATCACAGCAACAACAAACAATAGCAGCAACAACAAAAACAGGGTACAGTTAGTCATAAGTGAAATCAATACATACATATGTACATATATAACAAAAAAAAACCGCCCGCCATTTTCTTTCGATTATTTGCATTGCCGCACATTAAGCGTAATTTTTTTCTTTGTTTTATTATTTTACTTACTCTTTTGCTTTGCGAATGTTGCCGATATATGGTATAAATTCTACTTTATTATATTATATCAAGTTAAATTGGTAGCATCAATCGAAACGTAGTTAATCAACATTTACGGTAAAAAAAAAATATTAATTTATTCGTTAACTTTCAATATGTCGGCGTCGGCATTTTAGTTATGCGAAAATAAACACAATATTATTACGCTCACCTCGTCGTTATCGTCGTAATTTCCATTGGAATCGTTTAGATCAGCCATTGCACTTGTCTTTGTTAAATTCAACGAACCAACTTATTTTCAGCAACTATAATGAATATTTTTCGCAGCAGACGCCTTGCTTACTTACAAATGTACAGCAAGAGCAAAAGTAGGTACCTGTATGTACTAAAAAAAATACGAACTGGAAAAATGGCGACCACGTATCTGACAGTCAATGCCGGCCGAGATGGTCACAACAGTGATAGTAACTGTGACTGGTATTTTTATGAAAAATATGTGACAACAAATTGCGACTTTTGTGTGCTCAAAATTAATTTACGCAATTTAAGCATATATGTATAAATAAATATATATATAGATATAATGCAAAATGTGATTACTTTCCTTAACAAATACGTTAAAAGCGAATTAATTCAACTAATAATTTTATTCCATGTAACTGTGACAGATATTACTCTCGTTTACCTACACTGTAAACCAGGGCTGAATCAACGATTTTTGACACTGATGACGCCGCATTGAAGCGGCAAAGCAGTTTTCAGTTCAATGTCACTTCCGTAGAATTTGCGTTGAGGTTCAGTTTGCATTATTTTTTCGTGAGACTTGCTGTGTATAAAAAAACAAGAAAAAGGAGGCATTATTCAGCAGAAAATCACATTTTAAATATAAATACATTTAGTAAACGGTATGTGAACAATTTATATAAAAACCAACACTTGAAAACAACAATAAATAGCGCTTAATAAGTAAACGAAGAAAAGTTCTCTACCCGGTAGAAAACGTTGACATCGGCAACTCCGCCATCTTGGCAAATACACACACACACGCACACATATGCGTTTACATAAAATGCCCTTTAAAAATTAGAATTAGTTTTGTTATTTACACATTCTTGTAGCATAAATCATCAACAAATATGGTTGGATCACGCGTTTATGTGGGCGGCCTGCCGTACGGTGTCCGTGAGCGCGACTTGGAACGGTTTTTCAAAGGCTACGGCCGCACTCGTGATATACTTATCAAGAACGGATATGGCTTCGTGGTAAGTGCGACTAAACAAATCAATCAAAATTGACAAATCGATAATAACTTAATTTGCAGGAATTTGAGGACTATCGCGATGCTGACGATGCCGTATACGAATTAAACGGGAAGGAGCTGCTAGGCGAACGGTAAATTAGAATTAAAAACAAAAATAATAAAATATATATATATTAATATATGTGTCACTGCAGTGTGGTTGTTGAACCAGCCAGAGGCACAGCCCGCGGCAGTAATCGGGATCGTTACGAGGATCGCTACGGCGGACGCCGTGGTGGAGGCGGGCGCTACAATGATAAGTAAGTACAGCTGCGCCTGTTGGGTATCTTTTACATTATGCCACAGAGGTCACTCGGAAACTGGATGTGTTCTTCGGCTATTTCAAATAGTGCAAATCATTAACTTGCAATCCCGAAGAAGAACCGCTTGCAGCGTACTGTTCAAGTTTGCGAGTGACCACTGTATTTGCTTTTATCATAATCCAGTGGACCCAATTGCTAATTGTTAGAAGTTTACTTGCAAATATCCGTGAACTTGACTTTATTTGTGGCAAAAAATTTTAATTCGGGATATTTCAAAATGTTGTAAAACTGAAGCATTTTGAAATTATCGACAGAATAGTCTTTTTTAATGGATACATCTGTTTTTGGTGTTGATTTCTGCCTATTTTCCATGGTATATGAAACAATTCAAGGGTCTACTGCGACAGGTATTAAAAAATAGCTGCCCATTCATTTGCTAAAGACACTGACATGCTGTTTATATATATATGTATATATATATATATATGAATAATTATATATATATATTTATATATATGTATGTATATATATGTTAATATAACTTTCCGTTAATGCTAATTTTGAAACATTTATTGATTTACTTACATTCTGCACGCTCTAACCACTTATAAGGCACATTTGTTAATTGTTATAGTTGTTGTTGTGGTCAGCCTTCTGCGACTGCCGCCATTCCCCGTTCTCTGTTTTCTGATACGCTCAACTTAATTCTTAATTATACTCTTGCCTTTTTCCTTCAAAAGGGGAGTTTCATTTGCATATATATCACGTTATGTACATATATATAACTCCTTTGAGCAGCAGCAGCGCAGTGTCAATACTAATTGAAATTCATTAAATTATTCACCAGAAACAAAAATTCCAGATCATCCTCACGATATGGACCGCCATTGCGCACTGAGTATCGTCTGATTGTCGAGAATTTATCTAGCCGTGTCAGCTGGCAGGTAAGTCATTCAATTCTCTACTCTCCTCTATCTATCTGACTGTAGTTTAAAACGTAGTTTAGCATACATATAATATATACTAGTCACAACAACTATTCTTAACGTCCTAACTGTGATGGCCCATCAGTTGGGGTGTGCTACTGGAAAAGCTAACCAAACTACTTACTCTACCTATAAACTATTCTTATATATCTCTAAACGAAATACTCCCTCCTGCTTAACCACAATTTTTTTTTTTGATTTCGAATACCATTCATTTATAAGTTGGTGTTGCTCCCAGAACGGCTTAGCGTTTCCTTCCATGTAGCTAATTTGTCCCTTTTTAATTTGTCACCGGAGCTGGAAATCGATCGATATAATTGCACATGAATTGCAATACTCAATGCATGTTTAATCTAAATTCTGATTTAATAAATGACTATCGATTGTTTTCCCACTCTTTATGATTAATATCTATTATATGTTTAAGCTGTACAGTTGATCTCTAGACTTAAGCAGACGTACAAACAATGCAATGTACATTAAAACTCTGGTACTGATCGTTGCAATCCCAACATTATTTTTCTCACACCAACCTAAAAAACAAAAAAAAAAGAGTTTGATGTGTATCTGTTACTGAGAACTGACCCCAGAGCTTAGAAGAGAGTGACAGAAATACAGGCCAGGCAGTGTATGTGTAAAATGGCCAGAGAAATGGTGCCACAAACCGATCGAGCTATGAGACCGAGCTATGCCAAACCAAATACTTCCTCCGGGGGCCGCAACTCGTTAAAGTAAAAATGTTAAATGGAACAAATACCAAATATAAAAAAAAAACAGAAACAGAAACAAAACAAACAATATACTAAAAGCCGAGAGACAGAAACACGCACGCACCATAAAAAGAGATTCGACGCCGGACAGCATCCCACGTAATCATTGTTGGTCGCTTTGTGATCTTCGCTTGGGTTAGAAAACGAAATTTTCCCCTAAAAACATAAAAAAAAAGTACTCCCATACACTTGGTCTTCGCGCTGTCGTCATCACCGTCGCCGCCGTCGTCGTCGTCTTCTTCTTCGTCGAAGCCTCCGTGTGTCATCCATCCATGCGAACAACCGATGAATTCTGATGGCAGAGCCCGATGGCCAAATTGACTGAGATTTGGGCCAGCCAGCTCACAGCCCAGACCAGTCCAGCCCAGCCCAGTCCAACTCAGCCTACTCAGCCTAGTGGGCAATGGCAAATATTTGTTAGCCATTGCGTAGGCTTGCCTCCTGTGTGCGGCTGAGGCTTAGGTATTTAAATGTTTAAGCATTCACAATTTAATTACAAAATTATATAAAGAATTGTCAAATTCCTTATAGCCGATTGTCTGAGTTTTGAGAGGTCGTGTGAGACTGTGAGAGAGATGAGAGGGAACAAATGACAAACAGTTAGAAGCGATGATGATGATGATGATGATGTTGATGACATGAGATGAGATGTGATATGATGAGATGAGATGATGCGATGACCATGATGACAATGACGATGATGATTCTGGCTGACTCTTTAAAGCCGCGTTCATTTGATCTTCGGTTAGGCCTAATGCAACACTCTGCATCCAATACCATAACCAGTACCAATACTAGCGACAATTAGCCAATTGTGTGTGTGGTTCTTGTGTGGTTCTCCCCCTTGCGCTGGCCTGGCTACTGGCTAACCTACCGACCAGAGACTCTCCATGGAGCATTCGTCGTCAAACACCACCAAGCCTCAGAGGCGCCGCAAACGTATTTCTTATTTTTACAGTTCGTTTATGGTGAGGCCGTGAGAGAGAGATGCCGCCGCCTGGTTGACTCTGCCTGGTTGCGTACTGTTGTTGTGCTCTGCGTGCGTACCGCTGCTCTACACTGGCACTGGCACTGGCCACCCATCCACTGCTGTGTTGTGCGCTACACTTCCACTCGCTCTCTCACCCACAAATCCCGACTGCGGCCCTGGCTACCGGCTACTGGCTACTCTGTTTCTGACTGTGTGCGATTATTGGGTCCCCCACAAGAAAGCTAACAAAAAAAAAAGATATATACGAGAGATACAACAGCAACAACTAAAACAAAATATATATATACTATATATATACATATAACAAGCGTAGCACATAAATACATAATTTCAATATAATGTTCAACAAGTTGCAACACTAAACACAAAACAAGTTCGACTGCCTTTACAAAAAAGCAACAAAAAAAAAACGCCAATTCGCCCATCTGCCAAACAAACTGCCTGATGAGTGTGTGTGTGGCACGGCGATACCGAGTCGGCTTTGCCTGGTGCGGTTGTCTGGTTGCCCGGCCTGGCTTGGCCAAACAAATGCTGTGATCGGATCGATCCAAATGATTTGAGATGTAGATGTGGAGCTCTCTCGATCTCGCTAACTGCTCTTTCGATGAGGTCCCTGTGGTCCAGCATGAGGGTGGTTGACCCCATTGGCCGACATTTACTACTACCACTACTACTACTAGGCAGACAAACAAAACTCTCGGTGTTGTGCGGTTAAAGCGATGTGTGTGTCCTCTCTCTGAAAGCGCATTAAGTAAGAACTCAATTACAAATATTGTTTTATCATTTTGTTCAAAAAAACAAAAAATAAAAAAAGAAAAAATTCTATTAAAAAAAAAAACAAAACATATTAATAAATAATATATATATATGTTATGTATAATTATGCTTACGTTTTCTACCGCGTGCAGCGTAACACAAGCAATGAATATTTCGACCGAACTGGCGTTGCTAATGCATATTGACTGAACTGAACTGGCAACGGCGCTGGCGCTGGCTCTTGCACTTCTACCACTACTTCTACTACTACTACTACCCCCATCCCCAACCCAGAAAACAAGGTTTCCATTAGGCAGGCGAGGCGAGCAGACTGATTCGATATTGAGTGGCAAAGAGGCAGAGAGGCTTTGGTTAGGAGGCCCATTCTAACTAGCATACAGCGATCCAGCTCGGGAATATATATTCAATATGCTTGGTCTGCACGCTGTATTTGATTGATTTGCCAAGACATGCACAATGCTGGCCATGATTATAATTACTAATTCACGTCTCGCTTTCGTATTTGTGCGCTTTCTGCAGGATCTGAAGGACTACATGCGTCAGGCTGGCGAGGTCACCTATGCCGATGCCCACAAGCAGCGTCGCAATGAGGGGTAACTATTTCCATGCTCGATTGTCATTTTCATTGCAAAAACATCAGCTAAACTATGTATTCGATTCTTCTCTAAAGTGTTGTGGAATTTGCCTCCTTGTCGGACATGAAGACGGCAATTGAGAAGCTCGATGATACCGAGCTGAATGGCCGTCGAGTGCATTTGGTCGAGGATCGTCGTGGCGGACGCAGCGGTGGTGGCGGCGGCAGCGGTGGTGGCGGTGGCGGCGGCGGTGGTGGTGGTGGCGGCGGACGTGGTCGTTCCCGTTCATCCAGCTCCCGTTCACGTTCTCGTTCCCGCAGGCGTTCTCGCTCTCGTCGCTCTTCGCACTCGCATTCGAAGTCGCGCAGCCGCTCCAAGTCACGCGGCGGACGCTCGAAGTCTAAGTCACCAGTCAAGTCGCGTTCTCGCACACGCTCGCGCTCCAAGTAAGTAATCTGTTTTTGAAGTGAAGTGTGTGCAGCAGTCCCTAATTCTAATAATCACTACTACTACTCTCGTCTATTTCCAGCAAATCTCGAGATGTGTCCAAGTCAAAGTCAAAGTCCCGTTCGCGTACTCGCTCCCGCTCGCCCAAGCGCGATACGCACTCTCGCTCACGCTCCAACTCCAAGCGTGAGTCACGTTCCCGTTCCCGTTCGAAGTCGAATCGCCGCGATTCGCGTTCACGGTAAGTGTCTGCAAGGATATGATTTCTGTTTTGCCTACTCTTTGAGCTTTATGTGACATATGCTTTCTTTTTGTGCTTTCTTTGGTTTTGTTTGGATGTGCAGACCGTGTCTGGTGCCACCAAATAATTAAATATGCAATATTTAAATGTATTTTTCACACATTTCTCTTGCAGCGATCGCTCTGCATCGGCTGATAACAAGTCGCGTTCTCGCTCCCGATCACGCTCCGCATCGCCGAAGAATGGAAACGCCTCCCCGGATCGCAACAACGAAAGCATGGACGATTAGATTAGTTAGCTTTGCCCCATTAATTATAAAAATATTGATTTTAGATTTCGACTATTTACTCTAGAAAACCAATACAGACACCTTATCCACCAAAATGAATACATACGAATCATGAACGCGTGCAAACCTAAAATCCACTACCAAAACATCGTAAACATTTTTTTAATATTTAAAAATTATGTTTAAGACTTCAATTTGATCGACATGCATGATAACCCACTGTATTTCTGTTGAACACTCAAAATACACTGTAAACAAAAAATTATAAAAATTGTATCATGTCGACAAATTTTTTCCATTAATCATTTCATGTGCAATGGTAAAAAATGTCTAGACTAACCAATTTTTCTTACACCAAATTACCATACATATTGTCTACACAAATATTTCAATAAATACTGAACGGATAAATTACATATAGTCTGAAAATGTGTGATTAATAAATGGAGGTATGGAGGCTGGAAAAACTGTAAATAAATTCGTGTTTAATAAAGCAAGAGTTATTTTAACCCATTCTTTCCGAATTTTAGATAAGTATATGTAAATGTTGTGGTTTTTATTTTTGATTTTGAATATACTCAAAGGTATATTACAAAGTCTTGTTTGAATTCTTTCTCTTTATTTGCATGAATTAAAATTACAATTTGATTTATTTTCTTTTAGAATTGAGTAGCTAAATTTCATAATTGTGAAATTGCTTCAACACATACAATAACTACTAAAAAATTTGAAATAAATTGCATATTAAAAAGTCGTACGTTAAATATATTTTGTTTTTGTTGTTCTTTTGTTTTTTTTTTTTGTTGATAATACAGAATTAAATGTACATAACTATGCCTCTGCCTTTTAACAATATTTACGAAAGTATATTTGCAATTATTACGATTATTTACTAAAATATTTACAAAGCACATGGGAATTCTTCGGGCATTTGAAAGCGTTATCTAATCTCTAGTGAGCAATGGCGATTCTTAATATTGTAATACATAGAAATTAGTATTTATAAAATGGAAGAATCTCGTTCTCACAAAAGTTCCGTAATTTGTTGTGGAATTATCTAGTACTAAATTAAAACCAAATGCAATCGTTTGCGCTGATTCGCCTAAATGCGATTAAGGGTTTGGGGTCAGTGACTAATATTTAGGACTGCAAGTGGCGGGCTATATGTATGTATGTATGTACGTGTATTTGTGTATGAATGTGTATATGTATGTGGGCATAGTAATGCTCACTGCCTTGTATTGTTATATTAATATATTTGGCACTCTTTGGAGACAATTGAGCACTTGGTAAGACAAGTATTTGGCTCTAAATATATTTCTGACGTTTTAGTATTAAGTATAATATTATAAAACTAATATCCCCGCTTGCAATTTCATACGTCGTAATGCATAATCATAAGAATAATATGAATAAAATGGGCTATGTTTCAATCAAAATACTAAGATATATTAAATATTTACATAATTGATTTTGAAATGGCTGCCTTGCTAATCTGGAATCTGTAATGCTTAATCTATTTTTCTTCTTCTGTTTAGTGGAGCATGTACTATGTATGTATATATATGGCTGTAAAGTGCTGTCTGGAAGTAGTCTGTAGTCCTAGTTTGGTGTATCTCGCTATACTTTCGATACTGATAAATCTCAGTGGTTGTTAATAAAAATCGAGAGTGGGAGAGAGAGAGAGAAAGTTAGGGATAAAGTAAGAGAAACAGAAAGTCTCTCTTATGACATGTTTCTAGCTCTCGGGAATGGCAGTGGTGTAGATCAATTTTTGTAGTGCCCTAGTCCAGTATTATAGATATACATACATAGGTAGTTAGATATTATCTCTAGAATGCTTACTACATATTATAAATATATCCATATATGTATATATAGATTTGTGTATCTATTTATGCACTAATTTACATTGTAAATGCACATAAATATTATTTCGCGAACGCACATGAATTGCACATTTCAATCCAATTAATTATTCACTACCATTCAGTTTCAAATTCCATTAGGTTTAAGTATGTACTATGTATGTATCAGAGACAGATTATCACTTTAATTTTTAAGTCGTTTTTGTGGAGGGCAGGTCAAGGGGCGTCTACTACCATGAGTGGGTGTGGTCGCATTCGTTGTTCCTGCTACTGCTGCTCCTGCTGCTCCAACCTTATTAGCTCCTAAATACGAAACGATAAAAGTGATACATTGCGCTTGAGCAATTTCTGTGGCCGCTGCATTGGCGACCGATTCTCCGTATCATCGACAACATCGAGGCCCATTCCTACGCCCATGTGACTACCGCTAATGATGCCACTGCCATTGAGGGCGCCCAGGGTGTGCATGCTCTGCGTATCATAGTTTAAATCCTGCATGGGCACCACCTCCGGCAGCAGGTGACGTATATGCGTTGGCGAACGGCGCATCTTGTATTGGTGTCTGTGGGATCAGTCAAACAACAAAATTGCCATAATATCTCTCAAAATACACTTAAGGCTAGATAAGTCACAAAATCAATCTACTTTACAACAAGTTACAATAAATGCTGCTTACTCTGCAACGTTGTCACTCGTCGCGTTGTTATGTCTGTGGCCAGGGTATTGGATTATATATTATTGGACATTTACACAACATACATCAAGCAAGACAAACATAGACAACAAAGGCCATCAACACAAAATGCACACATAGAAAAGAAATTAAGAATTCGTTACTTACGACATAAAAACTAGACACACAGATAATTGAAAAATATTCCTATTCAAAGGCATAGACCAAATAGATATAGCTGTTTATTATATTAGCTATTATTCAGATTTTTTTCATTTAAGAATAGTTATCAACAGTGTAAATTTTTGTGCTTTATCGAGTTGTGCAGAAAAAAGAGATAAATTTTGAAATGTTTTTTAAAAATTCCGTCGGTTTTTGTTCAACACGAACCAAGAAATGCACACTGAAGTAAGCACCTTACAGTTCCCTTCCCACATTATGGGAAATTAACGCCTTATTAGAAATCAATCAGTTTTAAATAAATAACCACTGAATAGCTATCAAAGTTTTATTTATCGAGTTGTGAAGCAAAAACGAGATAATGTTTAATAATAATTGAAAAGTTCTTTACGCTCAACGACTTCAGCTGAAGACGCACAAAAGAAAGCCTTACAGAAGTAAGCATTTCATCCTTTGCCTGTCCACACTCTCACCTATGTGAAGAGGTAAGGAAATAAGGAAACGGAAACCATACAAAGTTACGCTCAACTTCCGTTTGCCAAGGGTTGAGCATAAAAGCGGCTCTAATTGGTCTATCCCTAAGTCTTTTCCCATGCTTACAGTGGGGATTACATACTTTTTGTGCCGGTTTCCTTTCAGACAAATACAACGGCATGAGAAACTTGATGTGTTCGTGTCGTCGAAGGATTGTCCGTCCTGTCCTTCGTAGCCACTCATGATGGAACCATTGGATGTTATCACATCGCCCTCCAGTTTGACAGCCACTTGTAGTGCCTGTAATATCATATCAATCTCAATTAGTAAGCAAAATAGATAAATATTGATCAGAGAAAAGCGCAGTTTGTGAATGGAAAGTGTGTTTTTAGTGCTGTTTAATGTTTGATGTTGTTCATAGTAGTTAAGGGTATCAGAATTTTCAATGTATTTGTTCAGTGTTGATCAAGTTGTTAGGTAGTTGTATTAGTTAGTCATAGTATGTATTTTTAAGCTCAAAAAACCTCAATCACCTCATTGGTCCATAAACTGGACTTGGTCATAAACTAAGCGCGCGTTTGCATTTGTTTCATATCATTAAGTCAAAAGCAACCGAAAATATGCCAAAATAGAAAAATATATAAATATATATATTTGGTTTTCGATTAAAGATTTCTTTGTAATCTGACTGAATGAATTTAATAAATTAATTAATTAATTCAAATATGTTTTACAATAGTAAATATTGGAATAAACGGAATGTGCACGTATAAATTGATTAAATTGTGCAACAAGTTGGCAAGCAAATAGGTAAAAAAAAATTAAATATGTATAAAAAAAATTAGTGGAAAACTGATTAAAGCCAAATATTAAAGAATGGTTGAATCAGTTAGATGTCAGGAATATGTAATCAGCTTAGAGTTTAAGGCGCAGTGAGACTAATAGATATAAGCTTAAGGTTTTAGGAAAACGGTTTACTACCAATTGGTCAACTTGATAAATGTATTTATTGTATAATAAAACATTCGGAACAGTCCGCAAGTCTACAGAAGAAATAGGAATGGTATGGAAAATACTGATGCACACATTTTTTTTTTATAGATAGATCTGAGCTCACCTGCATGGCTTGGGCCTCGTCGCGTCTCTCATCCTCGGTATTCATTGTAACAAACCTTAGTACTAACAAGTTCAGTGAGGCGGCAACAATTGCCAGTCCGAATAGTATAAATATCAGTGCAAACATAACATATTCGGGTTTTCGATTTAGCGCATTGTCCTTTTGTAATGCGACCATATCGCCAAAGCCTGTCCAAGAAAAAATCATTCGTCTCTTAAATATACAAACCATTCGGTTGACAAGTACTTGTGTATTTTACTTACCTATTGTGGTTAAAGTAATAAAACAGTAATATACTGAATCGAAGTAGCTCCAGCCCTCAAATTTTGAAAAAGCCGCAGCACCACCCGCAATCGTCAGTGAACTGAGCGTCGTCACAACGCATATCAAATCCACCTCCGAGGCAATGGTTCGTTTGCAGCGCAGCGATGTTCGCACCGCTTTGATAATATAACTGCAAATGCAAGACGGATTATGATTAGATAATCTAAGGACATCACATAACGAACAGCAACTCACCTGCTCAGTCTATTCACTCTTTCTCCGATGCTCTGAAACATGACGAGACCCAAGGGTATTCCAACAATTGCATAGCACATTGTAAACAGCTTTCCTCCACGGGTCGTTGGCGTTGAGTGTCCATAACCTGTAGTTTCAATATTATTGTGAAATAGATCAGTTTAACAACTCGCAATCGCTAAATACGCTTAAACAAATTATTCAGTAAGCTTAATCTGCTTTCTAAAAAAAAAGTAAAGTATTCTATCCACATTGGTCGGGCAAAAAATGAGCTGATCTCCAAAGTAAATACATATTTATGCAGGGTTTTTTTTTTTTAAATTCTGCATTAAGCAATTAAAGCTTATTTCTAAAAGTTAAAATTCCAGTTCATATATCTTCGATAAAAATGATCAGATCTCCAAGTTAAATATAATTTTAACTTGCCTTTTTTTTATCTAAACTTGAAAATAAATTATTTTGATACGTGCATCATTTAGGCGGTGTTATTCGCTAGAAACATGTTTTAATCTTTCGTTTAAAAGCAAAAATTGTATTAAAAATAAATTGAAATATCTGAAAATATATTTTTTGATATATTTCCAGTCGATTTCTAATCGATTTTCACAGGCAGTGCATGTTTAAACATGTTTTGACTTTACGTATAATACTGGAGATGAATATCTTAATTTGGAAATACGAATTTCAATCGAAAATGATGTATAAGATATGCATATGTACCAATTGTAGTTAGCACTGTTGTTGCATAATAAAATGCACCAGTGAACTTCCATTGTTGGCCGGCCTTGTGCGGCTCCGATTTGAGGACCACCGTCTCCATGACTTTGAAATCCTCTTGTGATATATTATATTTGCGTATTATCCTATCCTCGACACCTGCAGCAGACCAACATAAACAGCATAAAGAAATTAAATAGATTTTCATTCGTAAATGAGATGTGCATTCGATTACCTTGCAAGGCCTCCCAGCGTCGCTTCTCCGTCTCCGATTCGAGGGCATCAAAGACGGCGGCACCCACCAGTAAATATGTAAATGTACACACGATCAGGGATATCGTGCGCACATTTTGTTTCTTCATGCTTCATTTAGGCGAGGTTATTGGCTAGAAACATGCATTCCGTTCACTAAATAAGACTGTCTGTCTCCAGACTGCTGCTGCTGCTGCTGCTGGCGGCGTCTCCTCTTGCGGTTGTACGGTTTATTGCTGTTGTGACGAATTCGGCTGCCGTCTTCCATATGTGTGTGTGTTTTGTCGTTTGGTTGTGCGTGTCTCGCCTTTGCCGTGGAAAGGACAAACTTTCGAAAATCAGGTTAAGCACAGTAACTTACACACACACACTCGTAGCTCGACACCTAGAGCACCTTGGCCACTTGCAACATTCACTTGCACTCCCCCCTACTCTCTCCCACTGTGACACACACACACACGCGCGCTAATCAAAGTCTTGTGTGTGTGTGCGTCGTCGTTGTAGTCTCTGTCGCTCAGTTGTTAGTTTTGTTGCCTACTTTTTGGCGCACAGGACAATTATCTGAGAAATTCACTTAATTGTCACTTGTTCATTCACGCGAGAGTGCAATTGCATTAACTCTGATATAACACAGACACATATAAGACACTAACACACTCACACACACACACACGCACACAGACACGGACACGGACACACAAAAATATGAGCTATGAGTATTCTAATTTTAGTAACACTCGCGAATGTTGTTGCACATAGTAGCTGCATTTATTTTTGTCACACATGCCGTTGCTGTTGCCTGTGCCTTTGTCCTCGTTGCGTTCGCGTTCGTTGCGCCCATCCATGTCCTTGTGTTATTTATAACAGAACAGCTGCATTGGTAACTGCATCATCAGCGTCACCATCATCGTCACGCTGTGCATCATCAGTTGCTGGAACGGTAAGCGTAAACAGCCGCAAAGGTATTACGGATTCTGGCAACTACGCTTTCAAGGATGCTGTTGCTGTGGAATGTAAACGCAATAGTTGCGATGTTGTTGTTGTTGTTGCTATGTACATATAGCAACATCCTCGTTGACGTCGTCGTCGTTGCAATGTCCTTCGGCCTTAGTTACGCTGCAATTGCGCTCAGGACGCTCATCCTGTGGATGGCATGGAATTTAAAATGACATTAATTCGATTTTAATGGCATAACTCCAGCTAAAAATAGCGTGCAAAACGTCTCTTATATTTTTGACCAGATTCTGTCGTTTTGTTGGCAGCTAATGATGCAAATTGCCTAATCTGTCATCGTCAAAGAATAAAAAAATAAAAAAAAAGAAGACAAACCAGCGTCAACTGTACAAGGACCACAGAACATGACACAACAGTCTCAGTCTCTCACTACAAACATACATACAGACATCAACTTACACATACATAAGTACAGACACATTTATGCATGGATGTATGTATGTATGTATGTGTGTATGTATTTATGTATGGTAAATGGGCTGCATCATGAAATATTCATTTGTGTGCGCATTTTCGCAGATAAGCGCCTTGATTTTTGGCAGCCGAACTGGGCCAAAGTGTCAAACTGTAAGCAATTTTCAGATTACGCGGCAACGTGTAGTTCTTGAATTATTAAAAAAAATTACACAAACGCTGCGCAAAGCTTAACCAAACAATGAGATAAAAATTGTGCGAGAAAGCTCACTGCTGGTCTGAGTTTCTGTCTGAGTGTGCGTGTGTGTGTGTGTGAGAGCCCTGCATTTGGGCGCATTTTTAGAAAATTTAAAGGAATTTCAGCATGTTTCGGCCTGTTTTTGGCCTGTTTTCCAATTTGGCTAACAAGCAGACAGCATTGCAGTACCATAAAATTATTTATGCTTCTGTATTTGTATATCAATTTAAGTGTGTGCGTTTGTGTGTGCTTCTCAAGCTGTCTTTCAGTACGTCAACGTTGCGCGTTGAAGCGTACATCACACACACACCAACACACACACACCAACACACACACACCAACACACACACACCAACACACACACACCAACACACACACACATCGAAGGTTTTTTTTTATAATTTATTGAGCCAAGCCAAAACGTAAGCAAAAAAAAAAAAAAAATTCGGACTTTAAGAGGGTGGTTTCGGTTTGCCATTGTGGATGCCACAACACACACAGAAGTTTTGTCAAGCTGCGACTGTGTGTTGAAATTTCTGCAGCAGCCACAGCCACAGTCACATCCAAGGTGGGTCGTCAGCTCGTCCTTAGTTAACTTTTTGCCAGTTTCCCTATGCTACGTTTGCCATTATTATATATTTTTTTGTTTTTTTTTTTTTTGTTTTTTTGCTTCACATTATTTGTTGCGCCACCCGCAAGCGTAATCGCGCAGCCTCCCCATCTTGTATTATTTGTGCTGTCGTTGACATTTGCTGTGCACTGGCAATGACAGTGACACTATCAAGAGTCCTGTGGCCGTCTATTTAACTGTCTGATGTATGTGCCAGCCCTTCGTCCTTCGCCCCTTGCACACAGAAATAGGCTCACGAAAAAGCATCAAAAACTTGTTTTCATTTTTTATATAAAACAAGGACACGTACATTATTGTTCGACGAATTGAATGCAGTAATTTGTTGTATTTATTGTTTTATGAAAATTTCGGATGCGAACCCATTAATTTGTGATTAACTTTGCTCTTATCTTAATTACACAAATTTTCACTACAATAATTTCATCTCATTTAAGCTCTATTGTTCCGCTCGCAATGCACGCACATTCGATTGTATTTCTCAACTGGCACAGCAACGGCGCACAAAGTGACAGGCTGCTGGATCCTAGTGGATATTAGGGTTGAGCATCCTGCATCAATTTAAAGTAGGCACGCGCAAGTTTGGCCTGCCAACTTGCTAAAGCTTTGCCAAAATGGCGCGCATTTGAATTCGAGCTCTCAAATATGGTCGAAAATGGGTCTCCAAAGCTGTGCGGATCCACCCCGCTGACCAATTCGCCTTGGATATATTGATGTCATTTGGCTTGGCATAGTTACTCAGCAGCCGTTGCAACCTGTCAATTCATTGAATTGCGCACAGCATTGAAATGGCAAATTAGTTTAACTTTGTTTGAATATTTAGGCCACAAATTCGATCACAATTGCTTGAGTTGAATAAATAAAAATAAGCCTTTGTTTTTTTTGCTTAGATTTACTTGCAATTCATTAAAAGTTTAAGCATATTAATTCTAATATTCCATGGGCTCCGGTGGGAGCACAATATTGCAACCTAGCAGGCCGCGACCGCTCCACGTCTTGGGCACAAGGACCAAGTCAAGCAGTTGTTCACCACGCTTTATCTTCAGCTGGACATTTTGATTCTGCATGTTGCGCACTAGTTCGCCAATTTGTGTTAGGCTATCTTTAAAGTTATTGTCATTAATGGAGCCGAAACGCATAATCTTGTCGCCCACACGTAAACCCTGCAATTTAACATAATTTATCATATTTAGCAGGTAGATTATATGACTTATTACGAACCGCTGCCTCAGCTGGCGAATTGGGGCTAACTAAATTAACTATAGCTAAGACGCGCGTCGCCAGCGGAATAATGATCGCACCTCCGTCCTCTCGTCCACCGCTCAGTTCCAAAGCTGAGGCCCGATTCACAAGCTCAGGATCAGTGGTAGATATTTCGGCATGGTATTGATTGAGCAGGCTTTGTATTTGATTCATCAGCTCCTTGTGGTCGTTCTGCAAGCAAATAATCGTTTGCCGTGCCTGGCGCACCTGATAGACGTCAATGTTGTTGCGAGGATATCCCTCGGCATCCACAAGTGGACCGCTCATACCAACATTGTCATTCTGCAAGAATTACACATAATTATAATTTTTTTGTTTACCATACAATATGTTTTTCAAGCCAATTGGACAAAATGCACTATAAGAGGTACTAGCTCGTCTTTAGAATTTCATTAAACATAACACAAATCTTCAAAAGCAACAGGAATGCGTTACATTTGTGACGTCACTTGATGATGCTGCGATACCTTTATCTGTGTACCTTGTCTGCGTATTAATGTACATAAGAAGGTAAATATTTACCGCAGCCAAGATTTGTCCATTTTTACTGATTTGCGACTCCAGCTCAACCTTGGCGGCCATTAGTCTTCCCAGTTTTGCTTTTGTTGTGATTCCCGTTGCCATGACTTGCATTTACCTATTCCAAAGATTTAACAAAACAAAATTGGTTTGTTGTCCGTCCGATAAATAATGTCCGTGTGACTTTAACAATACACACTTATCAAATTTATCGAGCTCAACTGCTGCAATATTCATATAAAGGAATTCCGTATCTCCAACCGATTTAACATTTATGACACGATTATTGAACTTAAAAAATAAAAAATTAAATGAATTTAATAAGCTTCAAGGTTGTTTTCGTTTGTAAACTAAGGCGAGTACACCATTTATTGTTGATAATGAGTTGGTCACTCTAATGTGATGCTATCAATCAGCTGGGTTGTAATCGATAACTTGTAGCTAAATGAGAGAAATATTAAAGAGGGAATACGTCTAATTAAACAGTGAAATTATCGTGAGTATCGATATTATATCAACAATTGACATACACATTCAACTAGAAAACATATTCCCTGACTTAAAGTAAACACCAAAAATTTACGGCATAAGAGCACGAGCTGAGCAAAAGTAACAACCTAGTTAGCGTTGCTGCAATCTTCGTGTACAACGAACCGAATATTCGATCAGCATATTTCCCCCAAAGAAATGTGAACTGTGCGCTGTGGGCAGCTCCGAAAGTTTATGCAATGTTCTAGTTTGGCCCACAAGCAACAAGGAGAGCGAAGAGACGGCAACCGCAAATATAGCGCGGTTTACGTTCATATAATAGGTGTACACAAACGCATCCAGATGACTGTTACTGTGACTAGCACACATGTAATGGACGCACAAGTAATAGCAACACATCTTCAGGCTGGCGGCGAGCAGCAACATGGCTCCAATATATTGGTCGATGTGGCTGGCAAGGATGTCGGATTAGCTGGAGCTGCCGATGACGAAATGACGGTTTTGTTAACAAATCAAAATTATCATCAGGAGCCAACATCCGACATTGAAGAGGCATTCCTCGAGCGAAATGGTAATAATGCAGAACTCGATGCTGCTGCGGGTGGACAGCTTCATGCGGAGCTAGCGGGCGTTACCTGGCTCGATGACGATGCGATTGATGCACTTGATCGGGTCACACAGGATATTGGCAATATGTTTTTCAATCGTGTCGACAGTCAGGACATTATCTATCAACAGAAAAAAAAGAACATCAAACTGGTGGGCAAATACGTGATGGGCGATGTACTAGGCGAGGGCTCATACGGCAAAGTGAAGGAGGCTATGAATTCGGAGAACCTCTCTCGCCTCGCCGTCAAGATACTCACCAAGCGCAAGTTACGCCGTATTCCCAATGGCGAACAGAATGTGACGCGAGAGATCCATTTGCTTAAGCAGCTAAAGCACCGGAATATTGTTGATTTGGTCGATGTGCTGTACAATGAGGAGAAACAAAAAATGTACTTGGTTATGGAGTATTGCATTGGAGGCTTGCAAGAGATGCTAGACAATGCGCCCGACAAGAAGATGCCACTCTATCAAGCGCATAGGTATTTCCAGCAGCTGGTCAATGGACTGGAGTACTTGCATAGCTGTCGCGTCATACACAAGGACATCAAACCGGGCAATCTGCTGCTGACGCTCGACCAAACGCTCAAGATATCCGATTTTGGCGTCGCCGAGCAGCTGGATCTGTTTGCAGCGGACGACGCGTGTACTACGGGTCAGGGTACGCCAGCGTTTCAACCGCCAGAAATTGCCAATGGCCATGAAACTTTCGCTGGCTTCAAAGTGGATATATGGAGCAGTGGCGTTACACTGTAAGCAATCATATCTAATCAATCTTTTATTTACTAAATTGACTTCAATCAATTTTTGCAGCTATAATCTGGCAACGGGTTTTTATCCATTTGAGGGCGACAATATCTATCGATTGTTGGAGAACATTGGACGCAGTCAGTGGATTGCGCCCGACTGGCTATACGATATGGATGAATGCTTTGCTAGACTAATCTTAGGTATGCTGCAAGCAGATCCCAGTGAACGACTTTCTCTTCAGCAAATACGCAAAGATACGTAAGTACAACTATAATATCCTTCCGTATAATAATGTATTTTAGAACCTCTTTTTTTTGTGCGTCTGCAGTTGGTTCCTGTCCGCACCAGCGGTGACTGACCCACCGATACCCATTCCTCCACTCAAGGAAAAATACGGACGTTCCACTGTACTGCCTTACCTTGAAGCTTATCACTATGGAAGCGAACAGGAACAAGAAGACGTTTACTTCACTGAGCATGATGTCAATCGTATGTGAAACACGCTAATTTCGCAACACTTACAAGTCTAATTAATATTATTTGGGTTACATAGAGGAACTAGCGCGGCGCGCTGCATCAGCTGCAGCCGAGATTCGCGCTAACAAATCTGCTGCTGCCAATGCTGCGTGCCATTTGTACGAGCCATCAACAAGTGCTGAGGCTGCAGCTGCTGCCATGGCCAATGGTTCCAGGGAGGAGACATCGATTAAGAAGAAGGGCTCCGGCTTTAAGAGGCGTGCCAAGAAGCTTGCGTCCTGCATCTCAGTGCGCAAATTGAGCCATTGTCGCACTTCGTAGGCGATCGCACCTAACCCATCCCACTAGTTACTAGAGTAATATGGAAAAGTAATAACCTTGTTAACAAATTGTGAGCAACTTTTTGGTTTTTGTTTTCGTTTTTTTGTTGTCTTACATTCGCCAAGTATTTATTAAGCAAAAATAGAGAGATATTGTGTGAGAGAGTGTTTATCAAGGTTAACTCCCAGAGCTGAGACTTTGAATTAGCTTTGAAAGCGGGGAGGCAGCAGCAGATTGCTAGTAAAATCCAAGTGACAATACCGTGTATTATATGAGAGAGTTATTTAGATCGTTGATATGTATTAAACGTAAAGAACAAAAACACGTTGAATAATTGCAATTAGCAAAGATTCGTTAAAGTAAACTACGCGCCGACAAACGCAAACAAATAAGTAAAATGTTCAAAAACTGTTGTTGGTTTTAATATCTTCTAAACTAATGCAATTTACAGGCGACGACTATACACAAACTGCTGGACAGTATTTGCAATGGAACATTTATAAGTTTAATAAAAATGAATATTTAAATATACAAACTGCATTTAGGTCGCATATTTCACCTTTTTTTACTTTACCATTCGCTTAGTCGCAAAGCCGAAAATTTCGCAAATAGGGAAGAAACGACTTAGTTTAACTTGGCTCACTTATATGTACTAGAGTTTAGTTAATTTTAACTCCCCAAAAGAGGGGTATTTGTTAATTTCAATGGAAGTGTTTTGATTAAACTTTGTAATTCGAATTGTAATTGTGCGGTGCTTTAAGCTTTTGGCATGTGTCCGGATATCTGTTTTTGAAAGTAAGCATTGTATTTCCACCAATGAGTTGAGAATAACTAATTTTCAGGACATATATATAATATGAAATATTATTTTCTTTGTGGAAGTGCACGAATATATATTGGACAGGTCAATGTCATATATGCTCAAATGTGCCACACAAACTTCTATTTTCTTCATCCATAATTCAATTAAGCTCATACTTTAAATTTAACGCTAGCTAACTAACAATATTATTCCAATTCTACGACTTCCATGTTGGATTTTGGTATTGTTGCCGGATGCTCTGTTATTGCCGCGTGAGTTGAAATCGAATGCAAATCGCTCATGATGAACATCTGATGATAGTGAGGGCCCAGCTTGTCAAGTTTCTTTTGCATCAGTTGACGTAGTGTGTCCACATATTGCGGTGCCACTTTGGCCTGGCTCGTGTTGCGCCAGTGCAGACCATTGTTGTCCACATGAAAGAGCGCGGGCGAGGGCACATGATCCTTTAAATAATTCCAAATGCACTCGCGCAGAAGCAGTGCAATCTGTATATAGTGAGACAATGCATTATAGAATCGACTATAAGTACTCTCTAATATCTTTTGAACTTGCCTCTGGCGCTTCAAAGTGATCAATTATCGTGTGCAGGTTAGACAGCGGTGGCGGTATAAGCTGACTCATTGCCAGCAATTGCAGCAGTTTCTTGGTGCACAGCATAAGCTCGTCGTTGGGTGCTGTGGGCTGGAATTTGTTTACTGCAAATATTGGCAGAAGATATTAATTAAAATTACATGACTGTTGCTGGCTTAAGGCTCACCATTCTTGCCACGCCAATGATGCAAGCAAGTTGCGCAAAGCGCACGAAGCAGCACTGATGAGTAGCACAATGCGGGTCTGTGCGTGGCTATCAGGCCGAGCACTGCCCAAAGCACGGGTGAAGTTATAAAGGCACGACGTATTTGCATATCCCGTTCCATAGTGACGCGGGTGAATTCCTCGTCGGGGAAGGGCAGGCCATTGTACATAACATCCGTTGAAACCAGTTCCACAAGCGTTAGCGACACCAGCGAGTAGCCTTCAACGTTGTTGGGCTTATCCTGACAGCATAAAATAGTTGGCATATTTATATAGATAGAGCAAATTTGTTATTTAAAATATGCATTACCAGATCCGTGCAGCATGCGTTGAGCGCTTTCAGATACAAGGCTTGCTTTTCTGCATCGCAGCTTCTGTTATTGGTGGGCAGCACAGGACGCAGTCCTCGCCCAATGATGCCCGAATGCAAGGCAGAGCGATTTGAGTTCGTTCCGGAGCTGGTGTGCAAGTTTTGCATTATTAACAGCTCATGTTCGGGTATTTGCAGTTCATCTGATTTGTATTCTTCCAGCTGGCCGAGCAAGTGGCCATGATAGAAGAGCGCACTTTCCACCAACTCACGCAAGCAGACTGTGCGTGCAATTTTGCGAGCTGAACATTGACGCTGCAGCAGTGCGAAGGCGCGGTGGGCGGCTGCTGCACGACTGATCACCGCTGTGAGGATGAATTGTTTTTATCAGTTGGTTACCCAAGTGTGAAATACTTGCCACTTACTGTGTTCTGTGAGGCTCACGAAAAAGTATTTTACGCTAAGCACGGCCAACTTAAGAACCAGCGGGGTTCGCAGTACATTGCAGCGTGAGCCAGCCTCGATGTTGTTCAGCAATTCCACAATTAGATGCGCCAAACGCATTCGAGCTGCATCATGTGTTGCCTCTGTGCTGGCGACTTCGTTTGTTTCCAATTTGGAGCGCTTAATGGGGCCATGGCCATCATACATGTCTTGCATTGTATCGCAATTGTTGTTGTTGGCCTGCTGCATCTTAAACTTCTCGGCACAGCGCTCAGCCGCAACCCTATCCATTCTCAGCACTAACTTTTGAATTGTACAGTCGAGAATTTGTATTATCTTGGGCAGACATTCGTTCAATGATTCCGTGAGCAACAGGGGCTTCATGTGAGGAAAGTGATTTTTCTTCTGCATTCTGTTGAGAGTAAAATATTTATTATCACAATTGTATCCAGCATACTCTTGTTTGGCTTACTTACTTGGTCAGCAGGTTGAGATTGTAAAATGTGTTATATGCCTCCGTGGGAGTCCCAGGCTCCACTGGCAAGCGATTGTTTACCTGCTCCTGCAGTGTTATATCTTCCAGCACCATTTTGAAGCCCTGCGTAATGCTTGGGAAGTTGAGCACACCGCTTTGGCCACCAAGCAGGCGCATTAGGGCACCAATGGTGCTTGGATTTTGAGCGTACGATTTGCGCAGCAATTGTGAAATGGTTTGATAATATATATGTGGATGCTGTGAGGCTGTGAAGCAAACATGGAATTGGTTAAATCTCTGCTGATGTATTTTTGTAGCTCTATACTTACACACGACGAGTAGTAATCGAACCGCCGTCTGTTGCTCCAATAGATTTGGGCTGAGGCAGCTTTTCCAGAGCATGTATTTGGTCTCCACAGAAGCCAAATCGGCAAGCAAGGGAAAATTGCGCATGTTAAGCACCCACTGCTCCAACTCCTGCATGGAGGTGTCCAGAAAGTCCTGACACCACACATACTTTTCAGCCATTTTAGCGACCATCAGAAGCAGCTTGGCGCCGTGCTGATTTAGACGCAGAACGGCATTGTTCAGAGACGGCTGCATATCCGCAAACATTTTGTTGCTCAGCCAAAGCGGGGCCTTTTGCACGATTGTCTCGCACATTTCGTCGGTGTCTGTGGAATAAAGTCAATTTTTGTTTCTTTTTTTGGGTTAATAAATAGCACAGACACACTCACATATTTCAATAAAAACATTGACCAAACTCTGCAGTATGGCATCGGAGTAATTTGTGGTTATCAGCAGAAAAGGCACTATGGCCACATCGAGTTGTTTCTTGGGTGCCAGGCCATCTTTCAGCATTTCCCGAAACGCTGAGCGCAATTGTTGCTCATGACAGGACGTCATATAGTCCAAGATGCCCGCCTCAGAGTCCAAATGACAGCGATAATCGTCCGCAAAACGCTTAATGCCGCACTGCAGTATTTGCATGATTATCTTATAGGGAAAACAACCGCCAAGCCGCGCCACAATCCAGTCGAATGTCATTGGATAGCGATGAAACGCATTGAGCATCGTCTCCACACATGTCTCTGCCTCCGCATTGCTCAGTTTGCGAAAGCAACTGTTGATCAGCGTGAGCAGACCATGCATTGCACTGCACTCCAACCAGTAATTGCACGAGGCCGGTATGGTCATCCGACGCTGTGTGTACTTGTCTGATAATTTGGCAACCAGCTCTAGGCTCCAATTAGCTATGAGCGGTGACCAAGCGGGCGGTCCTTTGAATACCAAGTTCTGAAGCGATGTTTTAACCATGTTGAAACTTTCGTATTCCTCGGCACGCATCTGCTGCTGTCGATTGCCTCCCTGCTTTATTTGCGATACCGGCAGCCCAGTTTTCTGATCCATCATTTCGGGTGACACGTACAGCTGCACTCCGATCTCGGCCAGTATGCCAAAGTAGTCAAAAACGATGTCCCGAGTGGCGGGCAGCTCATCGAGAAAGCTCAGACTGTTTGCATAGAATTCATTGGGTTAAAATAAAAATACAAATTGCAAGGGGTATGGCTAACTTACGCAACTTTGATTAATGACGGTTTCGTTAGAAGCTGTGGATTACTATGCCCCTTGCTAACTGTTTCTATAAATTGCTTTAGCTGATCTAGAATATTTTGTTGCAACATTTTTGCTTGTTTGGATCTATCTCTTCATGCAGTCCAAATCCGAGTTCATTTGTTGATATTGTATCGATACTATCGATATTGACTATTGTGCGATACGCGTACAGCGATATATTGAGTGCCGATGATACATTTATCGATGTATTATTTATACAAACTAACGTTCAAAATGCATTTTTGAATATTCAGTATACAGTTGGCAAACATTGAATGATTTAGTGACACTTTTGATCTGCTGTAACTCAGAAATACGCAGAAAAATAGCTATTACTAATAATGTATAAAATAGGTGGTATAGAAAGTTTTGTGAAATGGCCAAACGTGTGAATACAATGAAAAACTAACTTGACACTCAACGGGCAATACATACGCGCCATCTTACGTTGAGGAGCGGAAATAAGGACACACTATCCATAGATCGGAATAGAATAATGTTATGACTAGAGGAAAATAACGAGTATGAACAATATGCTACGCAGATGTCATGTTTCTTCATAAACTTTGATTTGCAACGAATGTATATATAAGTAATCAAGACCAGTTGCAAACATTTGAAGCATTTGACTATGACGCAAGAAGGACCAGTTTCATGCAAAGATTACTTACATAAGAGAACATATTTTATAATTGCAACTTACTTAGATTACAGCATATTGGTGTAAACTCAAATTAATAAAATAATATCTTGAATTAGTTTTAGTATCAAATTAATAAATAATAAATTAATAATAATTACATACACATGTATGAGTACTCCAACTCAGCAAGAGCTTTTGGAGAAAGGGAAAGATGTTTTATTGAACTTTACGCATCATTACACCGATTGAAAAATACGACTGCGACTGACCTGCGATGAACTTATGATAATTATCAAAGCGCTTTTTTACATAAATACATTATAAATTATCTTAAAATATTTGTGTTTAATTTTATTTAAAATTTGCCGGGAATTTACATTTGCCAGACTGGCACTGGACTGAGTATAAGTAAATAAATTAATAAGGAGTATAAAAATTATTATAAAAATTGCATGATAGGAAAACAAATTAACAGGAAGTTTGGGTGAATGAAATATTTCTGGATTGCACCCCAGTATTACCCGGTCGAGCTCTTCCAGGGTCGATAGTTTGCCGGCAAAGTGGTACAGGTGTTTCCGATAGACTATATAAAACACAAAACAACATCAATATCGATATTTTTTTACGCCGCAAAGTCAATTTGAGCTATACGTATGTTGTAACTTACTACGATAGTACTGCTAACCGTATTAATTAAAAAACCAACAAAATTTTCCATTCCACATCGACTGGATATTTAAATTCAAACGTTTTGCATTTTTTACCGTTTCTCACTTTTATTGATAAGATCATTAACATATATTAAAAAAATAAAATATGTCATTTAAAATCGGAACTTAAGCTTAGTAAATTCCGATGCAAATTTTCAATATCAAATATTTCCGTGCTAATTGATAAAAATTGTCCAACATGAGATCAATACGATGACCAATTAATAATTGTTAGTGGATTTTGTGTTTTTGTGTCAACGCGCTGACCTTGATATCATTTCCAACATTGCCGATGTTAAAACCACTTGCGCAATTTCTAATACCGCCGTCGATTTGATGTGTGTACTAAACCAAGCGTTCGTCATCAACTCCATTGATGCCGATGATCATTATCATGAGGCATCTTTACACACACACTCACACTCGCACTCACACTTAAATTACATTCACACTTTCAGCGGTGGCTGCTGCTGATCGATTTGCTTTGAACTTGTTTGGGCTGTTGACAAATGTGTGTGTGTGTGTGTTTTTTTTCTAAATGGGCGCGCAGCACGTTTTTCGTCGTTTTATTGTATGGAAAGTCCATTTACCGTGTTAATTCAATGTTTTATTGTTTTTCAATAATTTTTTTTTTTTGGCTAGACATAAACTGGTTTCTCGTATGAATGATAATGTGGCTATGTACAATATTATTCTTGTATGTTTTTTTTTACCGACTTTCGATTACATTGCCCAACGCAAATGCCACGTAAATGTGAGAATGATTTGCAGAATTAGAAAATGGCGCTTGACTTAACCGTTATTTAATAATCATAATAATAATGATGGCTGTGCGGCAAGTGCAACAACAACAACGACATCAACAACAACAACAACAACAACGACAACGACGACGACGATAACAACGTTAACCATACGACGCGTGTGTTGCTGCAATGCGGCTGCAGTCGAAGCAGACGCAGGCGCAGACGGAGACGTTGACGTTGCGCTGCTTTTGTCTTTGAATTTGAAGCTTGGAGAGCTATTGAGGCTCTGGCAGCGCCAAATCAACGCATCAATCATCGAAAGTTGCACAATGCCGGTGCAAAGGGAGGTTACCAGTGCCAGTTACTGCAACTATGTATGAATTGTGTAGTTGTGGCTACTGTTGTGTTTTTTTTTTTTATATGTTTGCTACTCATTAGCAGCTTGCGTTAGAATATCGTTATGCCTTCGCAGGCGTCACAGTCTATTTTGTAATTTTCACAAACGGGCAAAAGTCGAAAGGCCTTGAACTCCACATCGTTAATTTATTCGTTTCATTTTTATTTCTTTTTATTAATCTAATATGTTGTATATGCTTAAATAAGGTTAATGGTCTTAACTTGTTTACAATAAACAAACAAAAAGCTAGCAAAAATACAAAAAATCTTCAAACTAAGCAACACCCACAAAAAAGAGGCCAAACATGGATGGCGGCCTTAGCATCGAAAGCATCATCTGCCAAAATTCGATCCACACTTGACCAGTGTAAGTATGTGTTGTCCAGCCATTGCCTCATCCATGCCTAGTGCCCGAAGGTTGCATAATTAGGCATACAGTCATTGCTACCAGTATGTGAACTTAAAAAATCATTATTTTAAGAAACACGCTCATGTACAGACCAATAATACAACAGTGGCGCATTTTTTTTGCCTTAACAAAGTGTCATTGTACCTCAATGATTGTTTGTTGCTTTGTGTGTGCGCCGGAAGATGGAAACGCACTCAAATTGACCACTAAGGAGATGGGACGGGGGAGAGGGAGGGCGAGTGGGAGGCAGTAGCAGACTTAAGGCCTTCCGATCAGATTGATGGCCACTTGAATTAGCAAGGGAATGACCGCAGGAGGGCCAAAGTGGCAGGGAAGTAATCTACTACAATAAATGTAAATCTAAACTCAACTTCCATTCTTGGCTAACAGCAACAATAAAAATGTGCGCCAAATCTGGAAACATTTACAAAAATGTAAACAACTTTTATTCTTGACTAATACAAAAATAAATAACTTAAGATGTATATACGACTTAAAATTAAACTTTCCACTGTTTATCTTTGTTACAGTTGTTTTAGTAACAGTTTGATGCTTTAAATACTATAAATTGCAACGCCTTTGTGTTTTGACACCTCTAAGATAATTTGATTCTCGTATATAATTAACATATTATTATAAGAATTTTGTGCAATTTGTTGTTAAGCTATTTGCAGGGAACCCACTGAGTTAATAGAGATTTCGTAATGGAATTTCACATTATTGTAAATACCATGCGCTCGGTTTGCTGGCTGAGGTTAAGTACTTATGACCACATATTCTGAAATTGAGAAACTGTAATTTGCATATTGCATAATTGCGCTTTAATAATTGGCATTGTGCAATATTAACGATGAATTAACAATAAAAACAAGTGTGCAAATTTAACTTATAGTTAGTACTTTGTGAGCAAATTAAAAATATATTCTAAATAAATTGTGTTGTGACCCTAATGGCACTCCCCTTTTTGACAGCTTGTAAAATGCGATTTAACGACTAATTAAACTACACGCTTTAGCAGCCCAAAGGTACTAAAACTACAAAAAACAAAACAAAAAAAGACATTAATTAAATTTGATTAGAGATCGTAATGCGAAAACTTATAATAAACTTGCAGACACTCGATGCTTGACGTCAAAATGGGATTGGCCTGGCCTGGCCAGTGGTTGTGTTGGATTGAGGAAACCACAGATGGCCATCGCAGGTGGCTGGTTGCCGTTCTGATTCTGTCGGGTACAACAAACGAGATCCATTGCCTTTTTTTTCATTTTTATTTGTGAGTTGTTCGAAGACTGTTTCCGTCGTTTTTGGTTAACGTTTTCGCTGATGTGATACACAAAAACAGAAATACCCACGAAATAAACAATAGAAAAATGCGTTAAGCGACACATGCATGAATCTAAGACTGGCTCTTTATCAGGAATATTAAATGAGTTAAAAAAAAAAAAAACTTAAACTGGTTTCATCTTATTATTATATTTCATGAATGCTTTAAGCCAATATCAGGCATTCGTTTCATAATTTTTGCACATTCAGATTTTTGATTGCTGAAATATCAGAAATTAGCATTCAAATGCATGTTTTTTATTTGATTTTTTTTTTTTAAATTTGTGTGAATGCCTGTGGTCTTATCAAAGGTTGAATTGTCGCCTTCAACTTTGTACTCGGCTGTCATCTCAAAGTACCTGATGTTTGATAACTTGATAACCAAATAATAACATTCAGCGCTGCCCTTTGGGGTGTGGGTGCAAAGACAAAGAGTAAGAGAGCGAGTGCGAGAGCGAGAGCGAGAGCGAGAGACAAACAGAGATGAGCACTTCAATCGGCCACACAAATCGCAAATCGCAAGCACAGCTCAAAGTTGAATGCGACTGACTCGGCTGACTCGGCTGACTGCTCGGCAGCTCGGCAGCTCGCTCGGCAACAGCATCCTTGTCCAAAACTCAAACGCAGCACACAAAGAGAGAGCGCATCGAAAATACGCTCAAAAAAAACCTTAAAAATAAACACACACACACACACACATAGGCGCTGACATCTGGCAACCTGTTGGATTGCGGTGTTGAATTAAAATTGCGCTCAGAATTTATCAAAAGCTCGGCTTCGCTCACCAAAACGTCGACGTAGCCGTTGGCGTCGCTGCCGCCGTGCGCTTCGTATAAAAGTAAAGCGACAGCGAGAAATCAAAGTTATTTCTGTGTTTTTGATTTGAATGGTAAAGCGTACGCTCTCCCAGTCCCGGTAGCGTAAGGTTAACACTAGAGACTAGAGTCAAAAGCAGCGACAAAGACGACAGCAGCCATCAGTTAACAGTTGGTCAGTTGGTCAGTCAGTTGGCCAGCAGCGGAAGCTACGGAGTTGGCAAAACGATAGATGTGACTGTGATTTAGTTAACGATTATTGTTATATCAACCAACACACAATTGAGAAACACAAAAATAATTGAATATTTGTGCGACTGTTTATTGGTGCGCGTGTTTAACAAATGATTCAATGACTATTACAAGTATTTCAAGTATTAAAGTCCAATGCAAGTCTAAAAATAAGAATAGTGTTTAAACAAATACCAATTAAGCAAAAGTGAATTATTTTGCATGTCATCGAAGAAGTTCTAAAAATTGTCAGTGAATAATTATTGTAGTTTTTCTCGGAAAATTATTTTGACTGACAGCAAGCGAAAACGAATTGATTTATATAAAAAAAATGGTGAGTGGTACCAAAACTAAGCACTGTATTATCTTATTTCAAGTCGATACTTTGTAACCAATTCAAGGGAAATTGTAAGCAAACGATCCATATATAACTTAGCAACGAATGTATTTACAAAGTGCATGTCTACTGACATAGTATTGTGAAATTTTTAAGTTTAGGATAAACAAACAATTATCAGCAGTTAATAATCGTTAATAGTTAAAAGCGATTAGTCGTCGAGAAAATCTTCCATATTTATTTGTTACACGAGTGTTACGGGTTTTTCCTCAGTGCCGTCAATCTGAAGTTTGCTTCTGCAGAAATGCAAGCAAGAATAGGGAAAAACAAGTGAGCATTCTATAGTAGAGAGTGCTCGACTAATAGATACCCTGAGTTTAGCAATTAAATATCTTAAAGCGACTAGGGTAAACAAAGAAAATTAAGGGAACGCTGAACAAGTCTGAACTGAAATCATAGACTTGTGATTAAGTCCTGCAGAAATGTTACATCTGTATTCAGATACACAATCATAAATATGGGGGTGCTGCAGAGAGCCACAAACACACACATACTCGCACAAACCAGAATTGATCCTCGATTATCACACATTCTCGTAAACAAAAAATGTTTCCTGCTGCTGATAGAATGATTCTCATTCAATATCAGTATATATCAGTTTTGGACCATAACTTTTGTGTTTCTTATCCGATATCAATGAAATTGTTGCAGTTGATCAATATGATGCCAGGGCTTTGATGAAGTAAAATCTGTGTAAGTAACTCACATGGCTAGTTCGTCTCGGATATTCACCCTGCTCAAGAATATATATACTTTACATACCAATTTTCAATTGGGTTCATGGCATAAGCAGTTCATATTTACCAAGTACAAATTTTTAAAAGTTTTCAATGCCGTCTCTCTCAACTTTCTTCTTTGGCCTTCTTCGTGACTTTGACATTTTTCTTGGCTGGTTCTTTCGAAATGTTGTGGTTCTGTTTTGCTCTGGCCATTTGCACTTGAACTTTTCCAGCTATTGTATGCATACATGCATAATAAAAGCAAATGGCCAAATTGCATGTTCTGCAATTTGTTATTAAACATTTGCTACTGCGATATTCTGTTGCGTATGTGTTGGCCAAGCGAAGGCCGAGGCTATATTGGACTGGGACTGGTGCAAAAGGGGTCTGCTGCTGCTGCTGCTGTTGCTGTTGCTGTTGCTACTGGTGCTGCTGCTGCTTGCTTGACAACATTTCGTACGGAAATGCCTATGCAGCGGCAGCGTTAACCTTGAATTGCAACTGGATAGCTGGAGCTGGATATAATTTTCTACACGCTTCCATTTTTTTTTTTTTTTTTTTGTTTTGCTGCCGACTCTTACAATCTGTTGGCTTTATTATTATCGAGTATTTACAGGTGATTGGCGACTGCTGATGGCAAGTGAAATGGATATAGTTTCATGGTCAGCCCTCGCATTCGGATTCGAGTTCGAAACTGAGTTGTAGATTGCAGCAGCAGCAGTAACAAGTGATTGCCTCAGCTGCTGCTGCTGCTGTTGTTGTTGTTTTTGTTATTTTCGGTTGCTGCTGCTGCTGCATTGTTTTTGTTGTGCTTTGGTTTGGTTATTCGCCAGCTCTTTAAATTTTGTACTCATCATCGCCGCGACTGATGCTGTGTAGAAATCCAGTGATTTTCATATTCATTCAGCGGCTTCACTGCAAATTCGACAAAATAAAAAAAAATAAATAAAAAGGAAAGACAAAAAAAAAATTGTGCTTTTGGTTAACCAATCCCAGCTGGCTAATGATCCGAGCTCGCCCATTGCACCATTTTACAAAATATGTATTCAAATCTTTGACTCGTTTTTTTTGGAGTTTTTTGTACGTTGATCGTATTTTTTTTTTTTTTTTTTTTTTTTTTTGGGTAGGATTGCACAATGAGTATTACAGGTCCATTTTATTTCTTGCTTTTGTCGCATTTTTTGATGATTTTGCATTGCGCGTTGACACTGAAAACAGTAAGCAGTCAACTTAAAAGTGTAAAGTATAAAGACGCTGACTCCGCTATATAGATGGGCAGACGGTTATTGGCCATATAGGCTGGGCCCATTTACTAGGCCAGTCGCCCCAAACTGCTAGTAATAATCATAATAAAAATTGATTTTAATCAAGTGATTTACTTGCAATTGCTGTTAGCGCCAGTCCGCTCCGATACATTAGAGCGACACTTTAGCGGCATTTGCGTTGACGCCGACTGCAGCGTCAGCTTTGACGTTTGCTTCGCGGCCACTGCCAACGACGACGCGACGCGACGCGCTCAGCTGTTAAAAGAGAGTGCGATAAGTTGTTGTTGATGTTGGCTTGTGGGGCCAGTCGCATGTGACTCGATCGCTTGCTGCTGGCGGTGCGCTCTGTTAGTACAACGCGGCGTATGAGAGTGCAAGTGACCAGGCTGCATACATATATGTAATTGTGTATGTAGGCGCGCATACACACACACATAAAAATCATATATATTGCGAGGAACTGCATTCGGGCCATTTTGCAATGATAGTGCCATTTGGCCAAAGGTTTATTGGCTAACATTGAAATTGTGCGTGCCTCCAGCACATTTTTCTATTTATTTTGGTTCTACTCACTAGCTCCCTCTCTCCCTCTCTCTCTTTCTGTATCTCTCGCTCTCTCTCGCACTCTCTGTGTGTGCGTTAAAAGTTAACTCTGGCGCGTCTTTGCATAAATATATCGCGCACAAGTGCTAAAATCTGATAAAAAAAAAAGGTTTGGTTTTGTTTTGTTTTTTTTTCAAAAACAAAAACAACAAAAAAAATAGTGTTAGTAGATATAAACGTGTGCATGATGGCTGTGACGCTGAAATCGGCTTCTTATCGGACTGTCATTGAAGTAAGTGTTGTTGTGATAATTCCATTATTGCTCGTTTAAGATTAGGGAACGAGCATCGATAAACACATGTTCAATATTAATCGATAAAATTGGTCAATTGCTTTAATGAGTCAATATTATAGTAGGTTTGGAGATTTGCTACGTATATAAAATATACTTATTTTATTTCTTAATTTAATTTTTTATTAAATTAAAAATATATTATAGAATAATATAAAATAAGTACACATAAATAAATATTGAAAGATCAATATTTTTAATCGGATTTTGAGCTTCTGAAAATTTGTCTTGTGATCGAAGTGTGTCAAAAAAATAAAAAAACCTGCAGTTATTGCCTTAAAGTAACCTTTCTCCTTCTTTAAGTTCAATACACTCGACAGCCTTGTAAAACAAACATACAAATCTCAAACGAGACAAGCTATTACAATTAAATGATTGTATTGTAAATTAATTTAACTGCTATTTATACACAAATGCTTAATGATTTTAAGCTGCGAACAATGTCAAGCAAAATATTTGCATACCTTTTCATTTGGCATATACAAAATGTAATCCCAAATGCCTTTCTGGAATGTGCGATTTAGGATTGGAGAGCCTTAAAACTGGGTTTTTGTCTTGAAACCCATAAACTCGCTTACGCGCCACAATTCGAGTATGTGCAGCTGTGCACTTGACTGTTCAGTACACTTCACTTTGTGAATGCAACAACAAATTTGAGCAATACGCAACTTGAAACGCGCCACAAGCGCGGGCGCACATTGAGCGGCGGATAGCCAAAAGCACTTGCAACTAGATTATCATCAACAACAACAACAACACGGTGTCTTGCACCAATTACTGACGTTTTAGTTGAAACCACTGCTTGATGCCAAATTAACGCGATTTAGCTACTCTAAAAGTCGCTCTCAAAGCCTTCTTTATTTAGCAGACAAACAAGACGCGACAAGGTACATATGTACACACATACACTCAGCGAAAAAACTGCCATGAATTTTAGAAAATCAAACAGAGTCAATTGCAGTGCAGTGTGTTAATTTATTACCTGACAGTGGCTCAAAGAAAA